GAACTGTAAGCGCGTGCCGAACTGCTGCCACAGGTTCCGCCAGAAGTTGCTTGTAAATTTCGTGTCTCTGTCGCTGATGATCGATGCGGGTATCCCGTGCAGTCGAACGACGGTGGTGATGAAGAGTCGGGCGGTTTCCTCGGCTGTGATTGATTTCCTGCATGCTGCGAAATGAGCCATCTTCGTTAGTCGATCGACGACGACCAGGATCGCGTCATTCCCACTCGCCCCAGCTGGTAACCCTGTAACGAAATCCATCGTCACCTGCTGCCAAGCACGCTCTGGGGGCGGGATGGGTTGTAATTGTCCCGCCGGCCGCTTCCTGCTTGACTTCATGAGCTGGCAAGTGGGGCACGATGCCACGTGTCGTTGCACATCGGTCAACATTTCTGGCCAGTAGTAGTACCGCTGCAGCTGCTGCCGTATTTTTTCTACCCCGAAATGTCCCGAGGTAACTCCGTCGTGTGCCTCGTGTAACAGTAGTTCCCGCAGTAGCGTGTATCCTGGTACCCAGATGCGGTCGGTTCCAACTTTTACATAATAGACTCCTTTTGCCGCTGCGAATTGCTGTGAGTTGCCTCCTGTAAAGAACGGGTCTGTTTGATATCCGTGGGTAAATAGGCCTGTCAGTAGCGGGCTGGTCTGGGCGAGTAGTATCGCGTGGATCTGGGCAGTGGGGCGGGTTAGTGCGTCGGCGATATTCGAGGCTCCTTTTTTGTATGTGACCGTATAGTGAAAATTTGACTCGAGGAAATCGAGCCATCGAATCTGTCGTGGGTTGAGGTGGGGCTGTGCACGGAGGTACTGTAGAGATCGATGGTCTGTCCGTACTGTCACGTCTGCGCCGGTCAAGTAGCAGCGCCACACTTGGAATGCGTGCACGATCGCGAGCATTTCGCGGTGGTGTATCGGGTAATTTCGCTCAGGCGGATGCAGTCTGCGTGATTCGTAGGCGATGGGTTGGAGGCCGTCGCCGAAGTCCTGTAACAGTACAGCTCCGATGGCGATGTCACTTGCGTCGGTAACCACTTCGAAAGGGCGGTGGGGATCAGCGATGCGTAGAACGGGTGGTGAACAGAGAACGTTTTTCAGGGCAGAGAAGGCAGCATGCTCTTTCTCTCCCCACGTAAAAGCGACCCCCTTACGCAGTAAATCAGTGAGTGGGGCTGTTAAACGTGCCATGTCGGGCACGAATTGTCGAACGTAATTAACAAAACCTAAAAAACTCTGCAGTTCCGTGATGTTCGTCGGGGGGCGCCACGCTTTTACCGTATCCAGCTTCTTTGGGTCAATCTCAACCCCAGCCTCCGAAATGACGTGACCCAAAAACTCTAGCGCGTCCCGAAAAAACTCGCACTTGGAGCCCTTGGTGAGTAGCCGATGTTCCTCCAAAACCTTAAAAACTGCTCCAAGATCCACTAAGTGCTGCTGCTTATCCCGGCTGTAAACTAGAATATCGTCCAGGTAAACTATCACGCATTTATCTAAAAGTGGTCTAAACGCCTCGTTCATGGTCATCTGAAATGTCGCAGGCGCGTTCGTCAGCCCGAATGGCATTACTGTATACTCGAATGACCCGTACGTAGTCCTAAATGCTGTTTTGGCGCAGTCCGATGGTTCGACCCGAATCTGATGGTAACCTCCCCGTAAATCTATTTTCGAAAAGACTCGTGCTGTTCACAGTTGGTCGATCAGATCGTCGGCGCGGGGGATGGGGTATCGCGATTTGACTGTTACCCTGTTAAGCGCTCGGTAGTCGATGCACATGCGGAACCCTCCGTCTTTTTTCGGTGTGAACAGTATCGGTGCGGCGAACGGTGACGAGCTCGGTCGGATAAACTGCTTCTCTAACAGGTAATCTAACTGCTTCCTTAACTCGTCGAGCTCGGGCTGTGTCAGTCGAAATTGCCGCTGTACAGTTGGCTGTGCCCCCGGTTCTAACTCGATCCTATGGTCGTGCGCCCGCTGAGGTGGCAATCCCTATGGTAAATCATCCGGAAATATCCCCGGGAATTGTTTCAGTAGTGCCTGTAGTTCGGTCGGTACAGTTGCCAGCAGTTTCTCCAAATCACTCGGCTGCTCATCTTTTTCTACGAGTGCGATATCCACTGCGTACACGTCAGCTCCAGCAGCGACAGCCCGTTTCATCGTGATGGCGTTGACCTGGACCGTCGAAGATTTGGGTGGCTGCCAGTGAGGTAGAACGACCCAGTTACCACTACTTCGCACTGTGCAGCTCCCCGTCGTCCAGTCGATCCGTGGGTTGTACCGTCGCAGCCAATCACGTCCTAATAAAATGTCGTGCCCATCCAGTGTCGTCGCGAGCATTTCCTGTGTAAACCCGAAGTTCCCCCCGCAGCGGACTTTTACGCGCTCCACCTTTTCCCGTATGGCCAGGGGCGTGCCGTCGACTAAGCGTGCATCTATCTCAGGTAAACATCTGTTAAGCGTTAACTGTAATTTTCGTGCGGTTGCGGTATTAACTAAGCTGTGGCTTGCTCCTCCGTCAATGAAGATCTTCACTGCTGCTCCCTGTATTTTCCCGTAGATCAGTACCGGGCAATCCGTCGCTGTACCCTCCTTATTCATCCGAGCCCGATCGATGGCGTGAATCGGTACTGTGACTCGGTGAGGGTCGGTGTGGTTGGGCGAGCAGGCAGTCTCGTCAGTAGTTGGCCCAACTTCTACTGACTGCTGGCGTTTCCCTGCCTCCGAGACTCCTTCCCCTGCTCTGCTCCTCGACGCCTCAGCTCCTCTGGACATTCGCTCTTGCGATGGCCCGGCCGGTTGCAAGCAAAGCAGCGCCCTCTAAACGGCGCGGCAGCTGCATTCGCTGCGACGGCATGTACAGTGGCGTGCTCGGTCGGTCCCCGAGGACGATGTCCGTAATAGGACCCCGGTCTCGGTCGGCGTAGGATATCGATTTTCTCGGCGAGCGCGAGGATCTCGTTGAAATTCGAGAGCCCGCGTAGCATTATCTCGTGCGAGATGTCCGGCTTCAGCCCTCCGACGTAACGGTCCACCCGCTCCGCCTCGTGCATGGAGCCGACCTGTTCGCAAAGTGCGAGAAACCCGCTGGTGTAGTCTTGAACTGACCCGAGCTGGCGCCAAGTGCGCAGTTTCTGACGCGCCGAAATCGAGGCCGCGATCGGCTCAAAACGCGCCCGAAGCCCTGCGCACCACGCATCCCACGTGCTGTATTGGGCGGTTTCGCAGAACGAAATCCAGGTAACAGCTGGACCCGAGGGCCCTTCCTCGTGCGACGGTGGCTCGTAGGCGCGCGGCGACGTCACAATGACTCGCCACCAGTCCATGGCGGGGCCCCTGAGTAGTGAAACCGCATACCGGATCTTGGCGGCATCCGACTCGACGTAGTTGGCGTCGAAAAACACATTCATCGTGAAGACCCACGATTGAACTGTCGGGCCGCCGCGTTGGCTTGGGTCGAAGCAGGGCGGGCGTTGCGGCTTGAGTGGCATTGGGGCCATCTTGGCGTTCTCGCCACTTGTCGCCGCAAACTCCATGTGCCGACGGGCTTCTCGGGGCTCCCGTGGGCTTAATGCGCTCCTGTTCCCTCCCATGCCGGGCATCGGTTGGGCTGCGCCGTCACTGGCTGCGCCTGAGTGCTGTCCCGTGCTGTTGTGTTGCGTTGGTGTGCCGGATGAGATGACGATGGGCTCCTCCGAATGTGCAGATGCATTGGTTGGTGCGTGTGATGTCGTCGGTACGTTCACCGTTGACTGTTGACGGGCGGAGTCACGTTCCGCCGTGAGAGTCGCGATTTCGAGCGCCGAATCCTCCAATTGACGCACGAGACGATCGAGTTGCTCCTGCGTCAACGTGGCGAGATTGAAATCGGCCATGGCGGGGGTGTCGGGCAAGCTCAGCGAGAGCCTCGGTCGTGGCCGTGCGTGCTTTCGAGAGAGCACTACGAGCGGCGGTGCTGTGTCGCTGAGAGACGTCTACCCCCCCCAAAAAATTGAGATAGTGGGAAGCGAAGGTGTGGATGCGGTCCGAGATGAGATCGTAGGCTCTGAATACCAAGTGTTACGAGTACAATTGAGTGAACGAACGAGAATTGCACTATCGAAGCATGAATACAAATGAGCGAAGGCATGAGCGAACATTATATACGGTAGCGAAACTACCGTGGTAACGGTAATGGTCGCGCGACGAGCCTGGGACCGAGGTTGGGAAAGTGTCGAAGCGTAGGTCCGGAGCGCGGGTTACCAGCCGAGCCGTGAGGTCGGGATGCGATGTGCGAAAAGGGCGGGATGATGAATGATGCGATGGTCACGAGTGGTAACGGTGCTGACTGAGGTGCTACAGTGATGTACGCGTCGAGCAGGGACGCGAAGTTAGGAAAAGGGAATTTCCTTACAGCAGGCCACAACTTTCAAGATTAGGAAGGTTGGTTGGTTAGGAACTTACTATTGGCCAGCGAGTTCTGGGAGTGTCGAAGACGTTGGACGATGTTCGCGTGCTAAATCATTTTCGCCCGAGTTACCCGAAGTCTAGTGCGACAGACACACCCCCAACAATCGATCGCCCGGACCCCCATACGACCAGTCACCACACCCCAGCTCAACATTTCGTCCATCGAGAACACACCACTTCGATGACCTAAGTAAGCGGAAATAGTAGCTATTCATCATAGTCCGTCCAAGGGCCTCTGCCTGACTGTCACCTGTTTCACGAGATACGAATGTGCATGCGAAGAAAGGGAGCGTCCAGCTTTTCCCTTGATAACAGCGACATTTATGCCTAGGATAACGCAGCGCGCTTGCAAGTACAGCAGGCACATTCAAGCCGCCAACTGCTTACCACCTACATTCCCTACCCTCACCTTGCCATTGCGGTTGCTCACGCCGCCAGCAAGTTCCGCCACGATTGAATGCGGTGGTGGCGCCACGATTCGGAACTCCAAACGCCGCTAATCGGTAGTCCTCACACCATGCCCCCTTCCTCTCGGTCGAGCACGCCCCGTCCCATTCGCGTCCATGCGATTCAAAATAAGATCGGACCGCATTTTTGTTACTCTCACGCTGATGCATAGGAAATCCTTCACGCCACTGCACCACCATCCCCTCACACCTCACTTTCCGGACATCGCTAACGTCCCACTGACTCCCGTCGTCCCCGCAAGCTGCACCAGGGTTTGCGTCAACTGTCACACTTCGCTGATGCCTCACCCTTCACTTCCCCCTCCCGTTGCTCTTCACTTCCCCCTCCCGTCGCCTTCATTTCCCCCTCCCGTCACCTCCACATCCCCCTCCCGACGCCTTCACTAATCTCCTCCTGCCGCTCTTCCCTTTTCCCTCCCGTCTCCTTCACTTCCCCCTCCCGTCGCTCCTCACTTCCCCCTCCCGTCGCTCCTCACTTCCCCCTCCCGTCGCTCCTCACTTCCCCCTCCCGTCGCCTACACATCCCCCGCCCGTCGACTTCACTTCCCTCTCCCATCGCCCGCGCTCCCCCCTCCCATCGCCCTGCTCATTCTCCCGTCCCCCTCTGTCTGTCTCCCCTGCTCATTCTCTTCCCCCTCCCCCCCCAATCCCCCACCCACTCTTCCTCAAGTTGTTGGTTCACTTGCGCTAACGCATCCTGCGCCAATGCTCCCCTTTTTCCCACTCCCACCATCCCCTTTCCACCCCCGCCTCCCCCCCTTCTCCTGCAGTCGCTGGTGCACTCGCGCCATCGGTGAGTGTGGGCAGCAGCATCACCGGCGCCTCTGCCGCGCTGCTCCTCGCCTTCCCCCGCCTGCTCTCCGCCAACCTCTCCTGGACTGCCCTCTCCCACCACCCGTCCACCCCTCCCTCACCACCCTGCACCTCTCCCACTGCCCCCTCCTTACCATTGGCTTCCCTCTCCCCTCCTCCTCATCCTCTCCCTCTGCCTCATCTCCTCCTCTTCTCACTCCTCCCTCTTCCCTCCTCACCTCCTCGCGTCCTCACTCACCACGACCTCTGCCACTCGCGCGGCGCCACGCTTCCTCCTCCTCCGCACCGCACCAGCCTCCACCGCACTCCACTCCTCCTCCACGCCCTCACACCCCGCCCTGCGGCTAGCTGTGGTTACAAGCAGCAGTATCCCTCACACACCTCCACCTCTCCTCTGCTGCTGTCTCTGACGCCCTTGTGTTACACCTCGCCCACCCCCGTCCCCACACGGTATGCCAGCTCCTCACCACTCTCCACCGCACTCTACTCCCCCTCCACGCACACACAACCCGCCCTGCGAGCTGAAGTGGTTACAAGCAGCAGTATCACCCTCACACACCTTGATCTCTCCGGCTCACTCTGTCTCCCCTGCTCATTCTCATCCCGCCGGCTCACTTTGTTTCCCCACACTCTTCCAACCCCTTCCCGTCAACCCTGCCATTACCCTCTCTCCCGCTCCCAATTCCTTCCCCGACACCCACCCATGAGGGGTTGAAATGTTCCACCCGTCCCCCAATCCCACCCGTCCATTCCCCCACTCCTCCCCGTACAATACCCCACTCTCCCTCGCCCTTTTCCCACACAGTAATCCTCCCTTTCACCAACGCCAACCCTCCGCTTCCCCCACGCACCTCCCTTTCCCGCACTACTGCCCTGTCTTTCCCCAACTAACACCCCCCCTTTCCCCCAATCCTACCCCCCCTTTCCCCCCCTCCTACCCTCTCTTTCCCCCACTCTCCCTCGCCCTTTTCCTTACAATAATCCTCCCTTTCCCCCATGCCAACCCTCCCTTTCCCCCTGTACTCACCCATCTCTCCCCCTGTTTACTCTCTATTCCCCTTCGTTCAACCCTTTTCCACCCCCAAGTCCTCTCATTTCCCCTGTTCGCACCCCTCCTTAGCCCTTGCTTACTTGCTTCCTCCTTTGCTCACCCCCTTCTCCACCCTGCTCACTCTCTTTCCCCTTTTGCCCACCCCCTTCTCCATCCTGCTCACTCCCTTTCCCCCTTTGCTCACCCCTCTGCCTTGTCCACTCCTCCCATACATGCCCTTCTGTACCTCCACCTCCACCCCTCGATTATTCTGCCATATCCCCTCTTCGCTCCCTGTTCCATCACAGAACCATGCTTGTACAGGTGCCCAGCACCATGGGTCGAGGCATGACAGGAGTGGATTGAAATGTTCCACCTCCTAGCTTTGTGCATGTGCCTATAGTCCACTCTTGGAAACCTATAGCTTGCTTTGTTGCACTTCCTTGTAATGGTCATGTGCATTTCTGCTCCAAAACACAAAGCTGTGCATTATGAGAAGCATCCAACATCAATATATGACAGCTATTTGTGATACGGTACCACTATCCTCAAACAACACATCGCAACTGGATGCATGGCAGACCTGCACACACACGAACCACAAGTCGGATGTGTCAAAGTTGAAGCGGCGGGGAAGGATACAAAACAATGACAATGGAAGGGCAACGGCGGTAGGGAACAAGGAATGCACGGAAGGAGAGAATGAGCAAGGGGGACACAGAGGAAGGGCGGAAGGGGGGGGAAGATGAAGAGTGGTTGTAAGGGGGGAGAGAGCGGGGAAAGGCACTGAGCCAGAGAATTGGGAGAGGGAATAGATGAAGAAAGGAAGGGGGTGGGAGAGGACGACGTTGGGTAGATGGGTGGAAGGGAGGGAGGAAGGAAGAAAGGGAGGATGGGAGGATGAGAGGAAGGGAGTAGGAGGGTGGGAGATGGGAAGGGGAAGGGGGACAGGATCGAGAGAGGATGAGGAGATGGGAGAATAGCAGGAAGGGGACGGGAGGAAGGGAGGGAGGACGACGCATCTACCCTGTCGATGCCTCTATCCATACCCAAGCAACCCTCCTGTCGATGCATCTCCCCATCCCCAAGCAACCCTCCTGTCGATGCATCTCCCCATCCCCAAGCAACCCTCCTGTCGATGCATCTCCCCATCCCCAAGCAACCCTCCTGTCAATGCATCTCCCCATCCCCAAGCAACCCCCTTGTCGATGCATCTCCCCATACCCAAGCTACCCCCCTGTCGATGCATCTCCCCATGAGAGAGGCGGAGGATGAGAAAGGCGGAGGTGAGAGAAGCAGAGGGTGAGAGAAGCGGAGGGTGAGAGAGGCGGAGGGTGAGAGAAGCGGAGGGTGAGAGAAGCGGAGGGTGAGAGAGGCGGAGGGTGAGAGAGGCGGAGGGTGAGAGAGGCGGAGGGTGAGAGAAGCGGAGGGTGAGAGAGGCGGAGGGTGAGAGAAGCGGAGGGTGAGAGAAGCGGAGGGTGAGAGAAGCGGAGGGTGAGAGAAGCGGAGGGTGAGAGAGGCGGAGGGTGAGAGAGGCGGAGGGTGGGAGAAGCGGAGGGTGAGAGAGGCGGAGGGTGAGAGAGGCGGAGGGTGAGAGAGGCGGAGGGTGAGAGAGGCGGAGGATGAGAGAGGCGGAGGGTGAGAGAGGCGGAGGGTGAGAGAGGCGGAGGGTGAGAGAGGCGGAGGGTGAGAGAGGCGGAGGGTGAGAGAGGCGGAGGGTGAGAGAAGCGGAGGGTGAGAGAGGCGGAGGGTGAGAGAGGCGGAGGGTGAGAGAGGCGGAGGGTGAGAGAGGCGGAGGGTGAGAGAGGCGGAGGGTGAGAGAAGCGGAGGGTGAGAGAAGCGGAGGGTGAGAGAGGCGGAGGGTGAGAGAAGCGGAGGGTGAGAGAAGCGGAGGGTGAGAGAAGCGGAGGGTGAGAGAAGCGGAGGGTGAGAGAGGCGGAGGGTGAGAGAGGCGGAGGGTGAGAGAGGCGGAGGGTGAGAGAGGCGGAGGGTGAGAGAGGCGGAGGGTGAGAGAGGCGGAGGGTGAGAGAGGCGGAGGGTGAGAGAGGCGGAGGGTGAGAGAGGCGGAGGGTGAGAGAGGCGGAGGGTGAGAGAGGCGGAGGATGAGAGAGGCGGAGGGTGAGAGAGGCGGAGGGTGAGAGAGGCGGAGGGTGAGAGAGGCGGAGGGTGAGAGAAGCGGAGGGTGAGAGAGGCGGAGGGTGAGAGAGGCGGAGGGTGAGAGAGGCGGAGGGTGAGAGAGGCGGAGGGTGAGAGAGGCGGAGGGTGAGAGAGGCGGAGGGTGAGAGAGGCGGAGGGTGAGAGAGGCGGAGGGTGAGAGAGGCGGAGGATGTGAGAGGCGGAGGGTGAGAGAGGCGGAGGGTGAGAGAGGCGGAGGGTGAGAGAGGCGGAGGGTGAGAGAGGCGGAGGGTGAGAGAGGCGGAGGGTGAGAGAGGCGGAGGATGTGAGAGGCGGAGGGTGAGAGAGGCGGAGGGTGAGAGAGGCGGAGGGTGAGAGAGGCGGAGGGTGAGAGAGGCGGAGGGTGAGAGAGGCGGAGGTGAGAGAGGCGGAGGATGAGAGAGGCGGAGGATGAGAGAGGCGGAGGGTGAGAGAGGCGGAGGGTGAGAGAGGCGGAGGGTGAGAGAGGCGGAGGGTGAGAGAGGCGGAGGGTGAGAGAGGCGGAGGGTGAGAGAGGCGGAGGATGAGAGAGGCGGAGGATGAGAGAGGCGGAGGGTGAGAGAGGCGGAGGGTGAGAGAGGCGGAGGGTGAGAGAGGCGGAGGGTGAGAGAGGCGGAGGGTGAGAGAGGCGGAGGGTGAGAGAGGCGGAGGGTGAGAGAGGCGGAGGATGAGAGAGGCGGAGGGTGAGAGAGGCGGAGGGTGAGAGAGGCGGAGGGTGAGAGAGGCGGAGGGTGAGAGAAGCGGAGGGTGAGAGAGGCGGAGGGTGAGAGAGGCGGAGGGTGAGAGAGGCGGAGGTTGAGAGAGGCGGAGGGTGAGAGAGGTGGAGGGTGAGAGAGGCGGAGGGTAAGAGAGGCGGAGGGTGAGAGAGGCGGAGGGTGAGAGAGGCGGAGGGTGAGAGAGGCGGAGGGTGAGAGAGGCGGAGGGTGAGAGAGGCGGAGGGTGAGAGAGGCGGAGGGTGAGAGAGGCGGAGGGTGAGAGAGGCGGAGGATGTGAGAGGCGGAGGGTGAGAGAGGCGGAGGGTGAGAGAGGCGGAGGGTGAGAGAGGCGGAGGGTGAGAGAGGCGGAGGGTGAGAGAGGCGGAGGGTGAGAGAGGCGGAGGATGAGAGAGGCGGAGGATGAGAGAGGCGGAGGGTGAGAGAGGCGGAGGGTGAGAGAGGCGGAGGGTGAGAGAGGCGGAGGATGAGAGAGGCGGAGGATGAGAGAGGCGGAGGGTGAGAGAGGCGGAGGGTGAGAGAGGCGGAGGGTGAGAGAGGCGGAGGGTGAGAGAGGCGGAGGGTGAGAGAGGCGGAGGGTGAGAGAGGCGGAGGGTGAGAGAGGCGGAGGGTGAGAGAGGCGGAGGGTGAGAGAGGCGGAGGGTGAGAGAGGCGGAGGATGAGCGAGGCGGAGGATGAGAGAGGCGGAGGGTGAGAGAGGCGGAGGGTGAGAGAGGCGGAGGGTGAGAGAGGCGGAGGGTGAGAGAGGCGGAGGGTGAGAGAGGCGGAGGGTGAGAGAGGCGGAGGGTGAGAGAGGCGGAGGGTGAGAGAGGCGGAGGGTGAGAGAGGCGGAGGGTGAGAGAGGCGGAGGGTGAGAGAGGCGGAGGGTGAGAGAGGCGGAGGGTGAGAGAGGCGGAGGGTGAGAGAGGCGGAGGGTGAGAGAGGCGGAGGGTGAGAGAGGCGGAGGGTGAAAGAGGCGGAGGGTGAGAGAGGCGGAGGGTGAGAGAGGCGGAGGGTGAGAGAGGCGGAGGGTGAGAGAGGCGGAGGGTGAGAGAGGCGGAGGGTGAGAGAGGCGGAGGGTGAGAGAAGCGGAGGGTGAGAGAAGCGGAGGGTGAGAGAGGCGGAGGGTGAGAGAGGCGGAGGGTGAGAGAGGCGGAGGGTGAGAGAGGCGGAGGGTGAGAGAGGCGGAGGGTGAGAGAGGCGGAGGATGAGAGAGGCGGAGGGTGAGAGAAGCGGAGGGTGAGAGAGGCGGAGGGTGAGAGAGGCGGAGGGTGAGAGAGGCGGAGGGTGAGAGAGGCGGAGGGTGAGAGAGGCGGAGGGTGAGAGAGGGGGAGGGTGAGAAGCGGAGGGTGAGAGAGGCGGAGGGTGAGAGAGGCGGAGGGTGAGAGAGGCGGAGGGTGAGAGAGGCGGAGGGTGAGAGAGGCGGAGGGTGAGAGAGGCGGAGGGTGAGAGAGGCGGAGGGTGAGAGAGGCGGAGGGTGAGAGAGGCGGAGGGTGAGAGAGGCGGAGGGTGAGAGAGGCGGAGGGTGAGAGAGGCGGAGGGTGAGAGAGGCGGAGGGTGAGAGAGGGGTGAGAGAGGCGGAGGTGAGAGAGGCGGAGGTGAGCCAGGTGCTTTCGCCTGCCCACGCGATCCCCCCTGCCCACGCGATCCCCCCTGCCCATGCACCTCCGCCTGTTTGTAGGTCGCATTGCCTTTGCAGGGCAAATCGTGACCTAATGTCGCCGTCGCGTTGCCCTGCCGGCCAAAACGTGAGCTAATGTCGCCGTCGCGTTGCCCTGCAGGGCAAGTCGTGACCTAATGTCACCGTCGCGTTGCCCTGCAATGCAAATCGTGACCTAAATGCGACGTCGCATAGCTCTGCAGGTCGAATCGTGGCCATCGGTCTGCTAACGTCACGCCGCACAACTACATTTCCGGTAATGTCGGTTTCCGGGACTTAAGCTCTCCCATACCTTTTGTAATTCGTGATTAGCGCGCGCCCGCTTGTCGGTATGTTGGCTAGTTGGCGTGGCGGGCTACGCGGGTCTAATAGTGGGTCCTAGAACTCGCGAATAATCAGTAGCGTTTTTGGGACAAGTTTCTCTTGCCTGTGTGCCTCATGTTTACGCAGGTTGGTGTTGGGCGATGTGCCGTGCGATGAAACCCAACTGGGCATTTGTCGCTGCTACAGTGTTCTAGTTTGGCGAATGTTCTGGACCAGGTTTGTGTTTCAAAAGCTTGCCTCCGCTGGAGACCGGGTAACACCCAACCAACCTTAGGAAGCTTGAACCAGTTTCGTGCTTCTTGACCCTCAGGTTTTAACTGCAAGTTTCAGACTCTAGTTTCAGCCCTTGCGACTCCTCCGATGCGCGGTGCCTGGAAACTTGATGCACGTGAAGCGTTCAAAGTGTCGCAGAAAGAGCGGTGCTACCAACTTCCTGCTCTGAGCCTCGGCTGGAAAACTTCCGCTGTTGCAGAAGCTTGTTACAGTCAAGGAAAAGCAACAATTATACGGGGCATACTGCGTGTGATGTGAACCCAACCCCGGCTTTCGGCATCAAGGACATTACCGACCGAGATGGTACTACGTCCTTGCAAGTGTGTGAGTGAACAATATCCACATCCGTTGCATGGTATAACCACCAGCTTCATAGCCACCATGTGCCATGCGCTGTATCCTGACTCTCTACCAACCACTCTATCTGCGCCTGCCGCGCATCTCCCTCTGTGCTCTGCCCGTCTCTGTGCGTGCGCGGCGGTCCTCAAACCACTGCAGGATGCGGCGGCGCGGCAAGTGGGTCACACTCACTAGGTTCGCCACCACCGCGTTCTGGAAGGCCAGGGGGGACACGGGAATAACAGGGGTGGGAGAAAAGGATAGCGGCCATGCAGCGGAACGGAGGGAAGTACAGGGGAGGGAGGTAGGAGAGGCAATGGGGAGAGCGTGAGAAAGTTGAAGGAGCATAGAATCTTAGGCAAGTTCACTTGCCCCGTCTACCAGTAAGACATGCAGCAAAACGAGTAATTCCGTAGAGGCCCACAAGGTTGGATGGGTGGTGGAATGCAGAAAGTGGGAGTAGGACAAAGAGATGGCTGTTAAGGTGGGGAGGCGGGGGAGGTGCATTCACCGTGGGGTACTTGCTGCGCTGGTAGACAGCTTCCAGTGTGCTCAGGTGCTCCTGCCGTATCCTCTTCCCCTTCTTCCACCGCTCCTGCCACTCCTTCTTCCCCTCCTCACTCATTCCCAGCCTGTCCGCGCCTTTTCCCTCGCCTCCGGCCTTTTCACCCACACCGCTCCCTTCGCCCTGAGCCCCTGCAGCCCCACTATGCGCCACCACTGCTGTCTCTTGCTCCCCCGCACCCCCACCAGGGGCCGGCGAGGTCGTGGGGGGAGTGGAGGGCGAGGGGAGGTCGGGGAAGAGGGCGGAGATGTCGGGGGGATGGCGCAGGAACGCCAGCACGTCTCGCCGTGGCAGATGGGCCTCTGCTGCCAGCGCCTTCACCTGGGGGGTGCCACGGGGGAAGGGGGGGAGGGGGGCCACAGGGGGGTGCAGAAAGAGATTAGGGGACAGAGAGATAGAGGGAATGAAGGGAGACTGAGGGAGAGGCGGGGTATAATTGTTAGGTGTGAAGGAGGTGCGCGGACGAGAGGGAAAGCACAGGGGCCACGGAAGGAGCATGGGAGTGTAAGAGGCGCACATTGATGTGTCTCCGCCCCTTTTGCACTGCCAGAGCCAGTTTCTTCAGCTGCCATCGCTGCAGCTGCACCTCCCGCCGCGCCCCTTCCCTTGCCCCACTGCTATCCTCCTCTTCCGCGTCCTCCTCCTCCTCGCCCTGCCAGTCCTCATCACGAGGAGAACCCCCCTTTTGCGTCGACTTATCGCTGCGCTCCCCCCTCGCATCTTCCTGCCCTTGGCGCACTGCTGCACCGCTCTCTACTTGCTCCGCAATCCCCATCCTCTGCTCTTTCTCCCCTGCCACCGCTTCCCTCCTTCCCATAGCACTGCCAGCAATAGCACCTGCGGCAATGGCACCTGCCATTACCCCTGCCACGTCATGCACCCCCTCTTCCTTCTTGCCCGCCTCTCCTCGCTCTCCTTCCCCGCTCGCCGCCCCCTTCGCCATCACCTCTCCCGTTACCTGCCTCCCCTCTGTCTGCTCCCATACCTCACCCTCCCATTCCTCATCCTCATCCTCCTCCTCCTCATCCTCCCCCTCCTCCTCCAGTCCCAGCTCCGCCACGAGTGCTCTCTCCTCCTCATCCACCTCCCCCTCTCCCTCCTTCTCCACCTCCGCCGTCATCTCCGCCAGCGCCGCGTCCAGCTCAACCTGCAGCGCCGCCAGCTCATCATCGTCAAGCTCCACGTCAGCATCGCCCGCAGCGAAACCAGTGCCGTCCACGTCCGCGTCGGCCTCGAGGTCGCTGGCGAGCTGCGCGAAGAGCGCCTCTATGGCTGCCTCCAGGTCCGCCTCGCTCATGTCGCCCACATCCCCGCCCTGCCCCGCGCGCGCGCAGGGGGGAAGGGGGAATCAAAGTTGGTGCAACGGGGGGGTAGAGGGAAACGAGACAAGGGGGAAGCTGATGACGAGAACGGAGAAGAAACAGGGGGCACTCGAGCAGACAAAGGGGCCACTGCCGCACGCTGGCCAGCTAAACCATCGCCAAACCCCTTAAAACCCTGAACCCTGAAACCCCGAACCGTCATCTTTTCGCGAACACAGTGGTTACTGCAGCGGCGCGAGTAACGGCTCACCTCGTCGAGCAGAGCCACGGTCACCGTTTCGTTCTCGTCGTTCCCCTTCCCCTTCCTCTTCCCTTTCTCCTTCTCCTTCCCTTTACCCTTCCCTTTCCCTTTGCTCTTCTCCTTTCCGCCGCCGTCACCAAATCCCGTCTTCCCCGCGCGCACGACAAATCGCCGCTGCTGCTGTCCCGCGGAATCTTCCGCTCCGACGGCGCCGCTCCTCCGCTGACCGATGATTCGCGCGCCGCGAAGACTTGACGGCTCGCGTCGACCCCGTGCTGCTACGGCCGGCATGGTGCCACGTGGTGTTGACACGTCTGCGCCACGGCGCGCCTGGGGCGACGAGGCTGGGATGGCGTGCGGGCAGCGCGTGTATTGCGACAGAGCGGAACCATCGTGCAGTCGCGCCGATGCGACAAGGCTTAGCGATGGTGGTTGGCAGGTTGCCATGAGGAAGGCGACGTGGCTAACTCGACCATGCACAATTTCCAATACCACTACGAGATGATGAAACCGTGGAGGCAGCGCAGCGGTTGTGCAGCATTAGGGCGTGTCTGAAGTGAACCGTCGACGAATGTACAGTTTCGTCGAGGATTGTCGGTGAGTTTCAACCCTCGGATCGAGCGTTCCAACCGTCAGGATTCCTCGACATCCCTCAAAGTTTCGTCGACGAACGTTCACTTCAGACACGCCCTTATAGGCAAAATTTTCTGTTACGACAGTCCGTCTAAAGTGCTAATCCGACAACAATCAAGGCATATTTGGAGTATCGAAATAGCAGGTCAAGAACATACTAAATCATTTATGTCAGAATCATAAACTGAATCACTTGGCTACAAAAATGTGCATAGCAGTGTTCCTTTGTCTTACTGCAGAACACTACACATGCAGCCAGGTCACCAGGAGAAACAGGCCAAGAGCTATAGCCTCATCTCCAAACAAAATTGTCCAGCCATTAAAAAACCTCATTCTCGAGGGTACTTGTTGGGCGGCAAAACTTTAAATGGATGGAGGGTTTGCTGTGGAGCCAGGTGTGCAATGGGCCAGGGTGGGTAAAGGTGATGGTGGGATGTGGGTGGGTGTAAGTGATGATGTATGGGTGCAGTACGTGCATCGCAGCTGCAGGTGGTGGAACGTGAGGTGTGTGGGAAGGAGCGTGGTGGGAAGGGTGAGTGGATGACTGTACAAGCAAAATTGTGCGGCCAGACACATGTTCCCATGGCAGCAGAGCCACTGACGTGGGGGTTAGGCGGGGGAGAGGATGGATGGATGCAAGGATCGAATGGGGAGAGGTTGGGTGGAGAGGAACGAAGGGGGAACGAAGGGGGAACGAACGGGGAACGTAGGGGGAACGAACGGGGAACGAAGGGGGAACGAAGGGGGATGGGGAGGAGATGGCAAAAGAAGAGCGGGAGTGTGTGTGCGCACGCGTGTGTGTGTGTGCGAGAGAGAGAGAGAGAGAAAGAGAGTGAGGGAGAGAGAGGGAGTAGGTGTGTGTGTGAAAGAGAGAGAGACTGTGTGAGAGAGAGAGAGAGAGCACAGTGGAGCGAGCAGCATGGAGGTGGGAGAGGGAGCATGGGTGGGTGGGGGGGTCAGTGCAGGGTGGAGGCGGAGGAGGTGCGGGCAGCGGGCCCCAGCAGGGTGATGACGACCGTGACATCGTCGTGGTACTTGCGGCGCCGCCCCGATGGGATGTTGCGCAGCTCCTCCACTCCCAGCCCTGCCATGCACGCACATGCACCCACCATGCCGCGGTGGGGGAAAAGGAAACGGGGGGAGGTAAGCAGAGAGAGGGGGAAGGGGACGAGAGGAAGGTACGGATGGTGTGTGCTCATGCCATGGCGTTACTTGCTGCGAGATGATGCCTGGCGCTCCACTCACTCATGATATCCATGCACATGGTGAAGGGGCGGTCATTCTGGGTGGGGTGTGTGAGCGCCACAAGCAAGCAAGATAAGCTTCGAAGCCAAGCAGTGCGGGGAGGCAGGGCGGGCTCACCAGCCTGCTTGGCGGCGCGCAGCAGCAGCTGTTCGAGCATGTGCTTGGCGGGGTCGCCGTGGGGATGGGCGAGCAGGAAGGCGGCCACGTGCTGCACCACCTCGTGATTGGTGAAGAAGTCAAACAGCCCGTCACTGCCCGCCACCACGAACCAGTCGCGCGCACACACGCGTCGCGCCGTGGCAAAGGGCACGCTGGACACGTATGGTGGCGACACCAGGTCGCGCACTCGGAAGATGCCCATCAGCTTGTTGTTCAGCCGCTCCTGCACACACACACAGGGGGGGGACATGCAGTGCAGGGGGGGGAACAGGCCGGGGTGTGGTGGGGGTGGCGGGGAAGGGACACGGCGGCGTCGGTTGAAGCAAGGAGCAGGGGTTGCGAAGGTGATGGAAGGTATTTGCAACAGGATGAAGGTGGGGGTGGGGATGGGGGTAGGGAAGCAAGCAAAGCATCTCCAAAGCCTTCTCACACCATGCCACCATTCCCTCCATTCAACCATACACAACCCTGGTCCTTATCCCCTGACCCTCCACAGCCACCGTGCACGCCCGTGCGTACGCTTTTGAGGTACCCGGCGCCAAAGGCGCGGGTGACGCGCAGCTTGCCCTTGACGCGGCGGCCCACCACAGCGCTGGCGTCCAGCGGGTGCTCCGCCACCACACGCCGCCTCTCTGGCTCGTAGTCCACACAGTGCTGCTCCGACAGCACCACCACTCTCAACCCCTCCAAACCACTCTGCCCCTTTTCACCCTTCCCGCCCACCCCCTCGCCAGCAAGCGCATCGCCATTCGCGCCCCCGAAGCCTTGCCCTCCTTCAGCATACGCCCCATCGCCCACCCCCCCCACCAATTCGCCCGGCCCCTCCCTGTCCGCGTCGCTACCGTCCGCGGCGCCCATGCTCACGGACGCGCCCTCCCCCGGCGCGGCCCACGTGGCGAGCAGCGCGCGGCTGTCGCCGAGGTTGAGCGTGAAGAGGTGGCGGCCGTGCAGCAGCACGAGCAGCACGCACGACCCCACCATCGCCAGGTCCGGCCGCTCCTCCATCTCCGCCTCCACCATGCGCAGGAAGTCGCGCTCTGTGTGCGCCAGCGCGCGCTGCAGGCACCGCAGCACTGCGCGCTGGAACTCCGCCGTCGCCGCCGCGCTCGCTGCTGCGGCGCTTGTGGCGGTCGGTTTGGATGATGCGGCGTCGGGTGAGTGCGTGCCGTTGACAGAGGGAGCGGGGAGAGCAGGGGTGGGTGAAGTGGGCGAGGAGGAAGCGCAAGAGCCAGGCCCGGACGGTGAACACACCGACGCTGCTTCTACTGCTGCTGCCGCCGCTGCTGGCTGCGACGGATCGTTCGCTTCTGCTGACAACAAGGAGCGAGTTGAATCGATACAATTGGCTGCGCTTTCCGGACCGTTACTAGCCCTACTCCGTCCACTGCTAGACTCGTCACAACACATGCCACCAGCACTTTCAGACCCTATCCGTCTGTCGCCCACCCCAACCCCCTTCGCCACACCCATACCTTGCGCCTCATTCACCTCGTCAGCCCCTGCTACCGCCCTTGCTGCCGCCCCTGCTGCACCCTCTCCTTCAACCCTTTGCGCGCCAGCCTGTGCGCCCCCCCTCCCATTGTCCCCCTCGCCACCGCTTCCGCCTGCCCCGCCGTCGGCGGTCGGGATGGTGCGCAGCGCGGAGGTGAGAGGCGAGAGCGCGGAGGACGCCTCCTCGCACACGGTGGGCAGCGACGGCATGCTCTGGCTCAGACTCGGGTTCGCCGTGCGCAGCAGCGACGGTGGGGGCACGGCGGCGGAAGGGGAGGCGGGGAGGAAGGAGACAGGCGGGGGAGGAGGGAGCATGTGCCAGAGATGTTGCTTCTGATGGTGGTGGTGCTGCTGCCGCTGCCTTTGCTTCTGCTGCGCCTCTTGCTGCGCCGCGTGCTGCTCCTGCCAGTGCAGCAGCCGCAGGTGCATGCCCACGCTCTCGTACAGGTTCACGGCCAGGAAATCCGCGGCGTCGCGCCCGTTGAACCCGTCGTACACGCCGCAGAACACCCACCCATTGGCCTCGGAACACACGGCCTGCACGCGGTCCTCGCCCGCCGCCCCGCCGGCCACCTGCACGTCTGTCGCCTGCAGAAAGCTCTGCCCCAGCGACCCGGGCGCAGAGCTGCTGTTCTCCGCGGAAAAGATGGGCTCTCCGCCGGTACTTCCGCCGCCCGCGGAAAGCATGGAGGACCAGAGGCTCGCGCCGGACGTGGGGGACGCGGAAGAAGCGGTGGAGGCGGAGGAGGGCGTGGTGGAGGCGGAGGAAGCGGAGCGGTAGGAGAGAGGGTTGGAGGACATGGAAGAGGAGGCGGAGGAGGAGGAGAGCGGGCACGCGGGCGCACAGCACGCGGGGATGCCGGAGTGAGCGGATGTGTTACAACCGATTCGGCGGAAGTTCTTGGGGGAGTCTATGTCCCCCAGGATCCCCCGTGCGGTGTTGGCGCACAGAAACGAGTTGGCGAGCGTGGCGTTGGCGCTGAGCGCGGCGCCGGACAGGAATGAGAAGGACTTGCGACGATGGTACCGCGCCGCGCCCGACGCCATGGATGCGGAGGAGAAGAGACCGCAGTGCGCATCAGAGGGGTCGAGGGGAGAGTGGAGAGAGAGAAATTTGGATGTGTCTGACAAGGAATGACCGTACGGCGCTGCAAACGCGTGGCTTCCTTCCGCTGCTGCTGCTCCGCCCAGAATCTTGCTGTCGCCGGGAGGCGCGAGGCCCGAAACGCCCGGCCCCGCCGCTGGCCTGTCGGACCGTGACGGCGCTCCCTCGCTAAGCGCGCTGGCAGCGCGTTGCTCATCGTCCCCTACTTCCATGCCGTCGTCCTCCCCTTCATCTTCCCTTTCCCCTTCGTCATCCGTGCTGTCGTCTTGCCCGTTTCCACTCGTTTCATCAAATCCACTATCCTTCCGCGACCCTCCCCGCTTCTCCCGGCGGCAGTGATACTCGAAACTAACCATGATTTCCTCCTCCTCTCCCTCCTCTTCCTCCTCCTCCTCCTCTTCCTCTTCTTCCTCGCTTCTTTCGTCATCCCCCCCCGCTTCCTTCGCAACCCCCATTTCGTCGAGATTCCCATCGCCTCCCTCGATGTTTCTTGGATCTCTGGGCTCTAACCCACTGCTCTGAACAGAAACCGGGGGAAACCCCTCATAAAGCTCCTTTTCGCTGCTCGGCGTGCAAACCTTTCGCGAAAGTGTCGCCGGAGACATGCGAAGCGACTCGTGCGGAGCATGATCGCCGTGATCCAAGTGGGAGTGGGCGGAGCCCATGGGGGCAGCCCGGGGGAAACAAGGAGTTAGGGCTGCAACGAGGGCGTCCGGGGAAACACTAGAAAGACCTTATCCACTCCTCCTTCGCTCTGCTCCAATTCTCGCCACGCACATGCAGAACCCGGCTGCTCGCGGAAACTACAGGGCGCGATAAAGATCGTATCGCTGTGCTAACGCCATTGACAGGATTAGAGGGGTTGCTGAAACGACACTGTGGACGAAAGCATCGGTCGCTACGTCATAAATGGAGAACGCGCGGATGGTTCGCACACAAACCAGGGCTAGAAGAAGATTGGTGTGGGACAACGACGTCGACGCAATGAAATCCCCCAAAGTAATCGGTTCGTGCGTCAACTTTCAAGAAACAGAGAATCTCTAAAAGGCCCAATGCGGAATCAATCTTTGCCATAAAGAAAGAGATGCCGGGCAATGCCCTACCTCCTTGAGCACTCAAGGGTAGAGTACACATAAGCGTGACGAGTGCCTACCCGAAACCGCGAAGCACAAAACTGGTCGATGAGACTGCGTGCCCTGTGCATGCTTGTTTTCGCGTAGTGTGGTAAAAGGCTGGTCTGGCGGAGGGGAAGGGGGTAAAGGCGGAGGGAGGAGGGGAGGGGTAGGGCACGCCCACAGAACTGCAGAGTATGTCCGGGGTTCCGTCCCGCGCAGCGGAAAGGACTCGCGGAAAGGACAAGCCCAAGGCAAGGGCATCCACCGCATGAAGCACCAATGGTGGCGCGGAGAGGCGAGAAGCGGCCGCCAGCATGGCGAAAGGATAATGTGGAAGTGCAAGGCGTTAGGGGTTGGGTTGGTTGGATGTAGGGGGGAGCAGCGAGATTGCCCGGCCCAGGGCTGGGCGAAGACCATTGATGATGACGAACAACGAAAAGGGATGTGGTTGATTAGCCGTTATGCCGGGCAGCCGTTTTCAACGCATTGGGTGTCGTGGTGTTGTGAAAGTCTTGGGTTCCGCATGCAGCACATTACTGTACTTCCAACCCAGAGATACTTCAAAGCGAAGTACCCTTCTCACTCCATCTGGTTTCCAACTTGCGGAATGCTTGAGATGTGTGATGCGTCGTTCCAAGGTCAGCTCTACGTATTTGAGAACACGCCCCCATCATGTTCGGGTTAAGCAGTATCCAGTGCACTCGAAGACACGCTTCATAAACAATCTCGGTACAGTCATACTGAGCAGATACTCTTATAGATGCGTGTTTCAAGCCAATGGCTCACATATCAGCACGTAAATGTAAAAATCTGCTCTAAGTGTTCATGTATTAGATAAAATAGAGAAACATAAACTGATTAATTATAGAACCATTATGTTTCTACTAGAAGCTCATTCAAAACGGTTAAATTATGGACGTGTTACACAGAAAGATAATCACTCAAAACTGTTAATATCAGGATCTTCTGGACATGATGTATCCTCAGTTTTATCAAATCTTATAAGGTGAAAATTGAATGCAATCCAGTTGGCAATACTGATATTGTCTAAATATGTTAGAGTCAGTACACGGCAGTTATGTCAGTCAGTTGAGCCCCGTCATCCCTTCCCTCCACCCTCATTCCTCCCCATGCCTGTTCACGCCTGCCACTCCTCTTGGGCCCTCCATCCACCCACCCCCCGTCACAGTTTCCCGCTCCCCGTCCCCCGCACGCCCCAATTCCCAAGACCTCCTCGTCTGCCTCCACTCCATCCACTGCCCCTTCCACCCTGACTTCCAGATCTGTGCTTTCTTCCAGATCAACTTCTTTGAATCCTGCTCGCTGGGAAGGATCTCCTCGAGCCATTTTTCTGTCCATTGTTTGCGGCTTAGGATTTCTTCATAGGATATTGCGTCCTGTCTTTACGGCTGTGGTCCTCACGTTTCGTACCTTGGTTTCGCTCCTGGACAGCGAAAGTGTATCCAGATCACAAAAAAGCCGCTGTTCGGACGTCGTTTCCTTTTTTTGCGCTTTTTCCAGGCGACACTACTTTTGGCATAATCAGAGAACCATTTCGTCGTAGTCGAAAAATAAGTTCCTCAATTCGGCTCATCGTCGTTCTGAGCACTTCTCCTAAAGTCGCTCTCTTTCTTCAGTTGCCACTGGGAGATCGTAAAAATGGAGAAGTCGTGCACGCTCCTGGTGCATTTTGACAAAGCAAGCCCGTCTTTGGCAAATGAAATCAAAGAGGCATTGGAGGGTCAAGACACGGAGAGGAAGCAGGACGCGATGAAGAAGGCCATCATGCTGCTGCTCAACAACGAACAGATCCCTCAACTCTTCATCACTATCGTCCGATACGTTCTGCCGTCGGAGGACCACACGATCCAAAAGCTCCTACTGCTGTACCTCGAGATTATCGACAAGACAGATTCCGCCGGGAAGATTCTGCCTGAAATGATTCTCATCTGCCAGAACCTGCGCAACAATCTGCAGCATCCGAACGAGTACATCCGCGGTGTGACGCTGCGATTCCTCTGCCGGCTCCAGGAGACGGAGCTCATCGAGCCTCTCATTCCGTCCATTCTGCTTAATCTGGAGCACCGGCATCCGTTCGTCCGTCGCAACGCCATCCTGGCGGTGATGAGCATCTTCAAGCTGCCCAACGGCGACCACCTGCTGCAGGACTCGGGCGAGATGATCGAGAAGCTCATCACCAATGAGCAGGACCTGTCGGCCAAGCGCAACGCATTTCTTATGCTCGAGAACTGCGCCCAGGTGAGTAGCGAAGGTGCAGGGAGGGGGGGGGGAGGGAGACAGTCTGTAAGGTGAACCGTCTTCGCGTCGAGTCGACGGCGGGGATGGTGTGTCTTGAGGCCTGATTAGTTCGTGAAGTGCTGTGCACTGAGCATGTAGGCTGAACATACACGTCTACCCTGTAGAGGCCCTTCCCGTGTTCGTGTGCGGATTGCAAGAGAGGATATGCGGTGGACGGTGGAGATAAGAAATGTTTCTTGACGTCATAAGCTTTGCTCACCTCGTGTAGTGACTTGGCGCAGGTCAGTCAGTTCAGGTGATATCTCGACATGGGACTATTTCAGTCGTTTACGATTTCTGCCCTCATGCCGCATCCGACATGAATCAACCCATCACGCTTCCCGTGCCGCATTCCCTCTGTCGTCTCCCATCCGTCTCCCCGCGTGGCGCGTGTGGCAGGATCGCGCGGTGCACTACCTGCTGAGCAACCTGGACAACGTGCCGCTGTGGGGCGACATCTTGCAGATGGTGGTGCTGGAGCTGATCCGCAAGGTGTGCCGCACCAACCCGGCGGAGAAGGCCAAGTACATCAAGATCATCCTCTCCCTCATGTCCTCGCCCTCCTCCGCCGTCGTCTACGAGTGCGCCGGCACGCTCATCGCGCTCTCGTCCGCGCCCACCGCCATCCGCGCGGCCGCGAACTGCTACTGCCAGCTGCTGCTGTCGCAGTCGGACAACAACGTGAAGCTGATCGTGCTGGACCGGCTGCAGGAGCTCAAGAGCAAGCACCGCGAGGTGATGGTGGACATGGTCATGGACGTGCTGCGCGCGCTCACCAGCCCCAACCTCGACATCCGCCGTAAGACGCTCGACATAGCGCTCGACCTCATCACGCCGCGGAACATCGACGAGGTGGTGATGACTCTGAAGAAGGAGGTGGTGAAGACGCAGGGCACGGACGTGGAGAAGGGCGGCGAGTACCGCCAGATGCTCGTGCAGGCCATCCACACGTGCGCCGTCAAGTTCCCCGACGTCGCGTCCTCCGTCGTGCACCTGCTCATGGACTTCCTCGGCGATCAGGTGGGTTTCTTCACGTCAGTGCGTGCCTCAGGGAGCGCTTAGAGGTTGTTGGTGCGGACATTTATGGGCGGGATGTGACGGGAATGGAGGGGAAGCGTTCGCATCTTTTTTCTTCCCTCCTTGCCCATTTCGACCACCTCCGTGTTCGCGTCTCTTCCTTCCCCCTCTCCTCCCACCCCCACACCCTCCACCGCCCTTCCGCTCCTCGCGCAGAACGTGGCGTCGGCGCTGGACGTGGCGTTCTTCGTGCGCGAGATCATCGAGACCAACCCGCGCCTGCGCGAGTCCATCATCTCGCGCCTGCTCGACACCTTCTACCAGATCCGCTCCTCCCGCGTCGCCTCCTGCGCGCTCTGGATCGTGGGCGAGTTCGCGCAGACGCTCCCCGAGGCGCAGCACGCGATGGCGACGATCAAGCAGTCGCTGGGCGACCTGCCCTTCTACACCACCGCCTCCGCTGACGCCGACGCCGACGCTGACGCCGCCAAGCCTGTCGCCCCAGGCGTCACCGCGGTTCCCCCCCCGCCGCCTGTCATCGCCACGTCCAAGCGCCCCGCTGTGCTGGCGGACGGCACGTACGCCACGCAGAGCGCGGCGTCGGAAGTGAGCGCGGCGCCCACGGCCGTGGTGGCGGCGGCAGGAAACGCGGCGGCGAACCTGCGGTCGCTGCTGCTGGCAGGGGACTTTTTCCTGGGGAGCGTGGTAGGCACGGCGCTGACGAAGCTGGTGCTGCGGCTGGAGCAGCTGATGTCGGACAAGGCAGAGGTGAACACCGTGACGGTGGACGCCATGCTGTACCTTGTTGGTATCCTGCGCCTGGGGCAGTCCTCCGCGCTGCCTCAGCCCATTGATGATGACTCATATGACCGCATTGCGCTGTGCCTGCGCATCCTGGCGCGCCCCTCGGACGTGATGCGGCGCGTGTGGCTGGCGTACTGCCGGCAGTCGTTTGGCAAGATGATCAGCGAGAAGGTGACGCGCGAGAGCGAGGAGAGCAAGGCCAATGCGGCGCTGGCCGTGGCACAACCCGACGACCTCATTGACTTCTACCATCTCAAGAGCCGCAAGGTGGGATGGCCGGGCCTGTCTGTCCATGAGTTGAGTGTGGGGCTGCTTGGCCTCCGATGGTGTTCGCACCTGCCACCCTCCGCTGCTTTGTTGCCCCTTCTCTCTCCCGGGCCCCTGTCCCCCCATTCTCCTTCTCTTCTTATCTCCCTGTCTCCCTGGAGGCATTTATCTCCCACTTCCCCCTGTCATCCATTCCCGTGTTTGTAACCGTTTTGCATTTCTCTCTCCCTCCACCACCACTCGCCCCTTGTCGCTCCCCCGTGCGTGGGTGGTGGTGCTGGCAGGGCATGTCGCAGCTGGAGCTGGAGGACGCCGTGGCCAACGACCTCAAGCGCGCCACCGGCGAGTACGGCCGCGACGAGGCCGCAGGCGGCGGGCGCAAGCTGAACCGTGTGCTGCAGCTGACGGGGTTCAGCGACCCGGTGTACGCGGAGGCGTACGTGACGGTGCACCAGTACGACATCGTGCTGGACGTCACCGTGGTTAATCGCACGCGCGAGACGCTGCAGAACCTGTGCCTGGAGCTCGCCACCATGGGCGACCTCAAGCTCGTGGAGCGGCCTCAGAACTACACGCTGGCGCCCGACAGCAGCAAGCTCATCCGCGCCAACATCAAGGTGCGTCGAACTGACATTGCTAGAATACTGTTTGCAGATAAACTGTCGATCATTTAGAGATCAGCACAGCCGAGTGTGGGCTGATTTTCACCCTCGACCGTTTGAGTGCATATTTGAGCACAAATATCAGTGAATGCTGCATAGCCACCCTTCCCAGAGCGTGGTCAACCCTTTGTCTCTCCTTCCCTCCACCTCCCTCTATCTTCGTCCCCCTGTCACCCCACCCACCACCTCACGAAACTTGTCCCACGGGTGGCAGGTGTCGTCGACGGAGACGGGGGTGATCTTTGGCAACATAGTGTACGAGAGCACGAGTGTGCTGGACCGCAACGTGGTGGTGCTGTCCGACATCCACATCGACATCATGGACTACATCTCCCCCGCCTCCTGCGCTGACGTCGCCTTCCGCAACATGTGGGCCGAGTTCGAGTGGGAAAACAAGGTGAGGCGCTGGGTGGGGGCATGGAGTGCTCAGTGGCAAGTTGGAATGGACATGACTTTGCTATGCTGTCAAAAAGTCTTTTCTGTTTACCAAGTGCTGATGAAATTTCTGAATTCTGTACCCGTCTCGTCTGTACACTTTCATGAATGTATACATGGGACTGTTCTGTGTGTGTGCGGTGTGTGTGGTGTGTGTGTGTGTGTGTGTGTGTGTGTGCGCGCGTGTGTGTGTGTGTGTGCATACGTGTGTGTGTGTGTGTGTGTGTTTGTGTGCTTGCGTGTGTGTGTGTGTGGTGTGATTTTTTGTGTGCATCCGCGCGCGTGTGTGTGTGTGTGGTGCACCAGGTGGCGGTGAACACGAGCATCGGGGACACCAATGAGTTCCTGCAGCATATTGTTGCATCCACCAACATGAAGTGCCTCACCCCGCCGTGCGTCCCACCCTCAACCAATTGTCTTCTTCTCCCCTCAGTCCTATGTTTACATCCACTCTCCCCTCTCTCTTTGTCCCCCTTTCTCCCTCATTACAAGCTTGGTGTTTTTTACGAACCATGCATGCTCGCGCTCCACAATATTGCCATGCGTCAAACCTGTGTGCTTGCAGGTCCCAGCTGGCCGGTGACTGTGGGTTCCTGGCAGCCAACCTATACGCCAAGAGTGTGTTTGGGGAGGATGCGCTGGTGAATGTGAGTGTGGAGAAGCAGAGTGACGGTAAACTTGCTGGCTACATCCGCATTCGGAGCAAGACGCAGGGGATTGCGCTCAGCCTCGGAGACAAGATCACACTCAAACAAAAAGGCACCTCTTGAAGTCAAGCCACGGCTTGGCAATGGTCACACACGCAGATACCAGGGATGTGATGACTGGGACACGCCGGTTATACCGGAAGAGCCTCTTTTATAAAAGCCGAGTGTTGGGAAGTACAGGAATTTCGTCTGGGGTTAGTAGGAACACTTGGGTTTAGGAAAGTATTAACAAAAAGTTGGAAAGATTCTCAGTTTTCATAATAGCTAGATTTATGTGATTTGTCAGCTTTGGCGGGTCAAATTTCCCGAGCATGTCCCTGTTTTGAAGCCTTCTAAGTCGAGTCCTCACAACACACTTTTGCTTGAGAATAGGCCAGCCGGGCCCCTATGATTGGGCCACGCGGACAGTCCCTCATCTTTCCAGTTTCTTGGCTCCCCCCCACGCCCTTCCCCCCGTCGTTGGGGGAAGAGCTTAGGAAGTCAGCGGGGAAGTGGCGGAGCATTCTCCGCGCACCCCTCAACAAAGGGAAAAGGCGTTGAAGTTGCCACACTTGAACTCCCAGTATAGTAGGCGGGCGATCTCACACTTGAACTCTCTTCTCGAGACCGTCACATCGGATTCCTAAGCTCGAGAAGAGGCCTTCTATCCAGATTTGCTGTAGTGATTATGGCTCACGCCATGGCGTCGCCAGTCACAGCGTCCATCTCCACTGCCAGGTACGATCAATGGTCCTCAAGGATAGGTCAATGTCGCTCTCGAATCGCAGTGAAGCTGGAGAGATTTAAGCGTCGCAGTGCTTTTCGAGCTGATTCGAAAGTGCTCTCGAATTCGGGACTTCATGCTTTCCAGCGCAGTTCCTTTTTCGATGTCAGTGATCCTCTTGCTAGCTCCTTCCTGCTCCCACGCCATTCCATCGCACCGTCATCTTCTGTCCGCCTCATGTCTGCGATTCCACGGCTGTTTCGACCTTATTCTGCGGTTCCGATTTTTTTCGTGTGCGCTGCCTTGCTTGTCAGGCTAGCGCAGCCAATAGCGTCGCTATCGGCGTCGCCCTCGTGGCAGCAACCCTTCGTGGGCCTTCAGTCGCAATCGTCCTCCGGTACGCACCCTGTCGGCCCTGCCACTGCGCTCTTCTTCCCCACCCCTCTCACCCCCCTCCCCGCCCTTGTCCACCCTATACCCCGCTTTAACCCTCATGATTTCCCATGACGGCACGCCATGGCATGCGTTGCGATCCAAGTTGGCGCTGTGATCGCAAGACTGCGCATGCCGTTCACTTCGCTCCTGCGCTTCTTCACCCTGTATCTGTGCTCGCTAATCTTCCAGAGCCCCCATTTCCTCCTTTTCTTTCCCCCGTGTCCCCCTGCGCCCTCCGATCCTCCCGGGTCGCGCGCGTCACACTCGCCTCACAGTGGCGTCGTTGCGTGGCGGTGCGCGTTCTCTCTCCGACCGCCTCTTCCACACTGTCGCCGCCGCCACCTCCGCCGCTCGTCCCGCTGGGTGCGCACCGTTAGCAGTGATTCCGGTGCTCCCGCTCTCCCCCTACTGTGCCGTCTCCCCGCCCGCATCCCTGTCGTCAACGCCATAGCTTGCCGCACTGCTCCAATCCTTTGCCGTCCTCGCACCCTGCCGTGGTTATCCTTCGTCCTGTCCTCTAGGTTAAATTGTCCCCGTTTCACCATAGCTAGGCTCGTTCTCACTATCTCGAACCTCTCCGTTTCCCCGTTCCCCCGGCCCCCCGTGACCGTGTGCTGGCTGCGCGCAGCGCGGGGCGGCGAGCGCGCGTGGTGATGATGCCGATCGGCACGCCCAAGGTGCCGTACCGCACACCGGGCGAGGGCGGGTGGCAGTGGGTCGACATCTGGAACGTGCTGGTAAGCTCTCGCGCCCGCTGCGCGCCTGCGCTCGTCGTGCCGTGTTCCCTCCTTCCTTCCGTTTCTCTCTGCGGCTGCGCATTCTCCGCCCCACAAACGCCTTCACCAGCCTTGCTCTCCCCCTGGCTCCCAATCCACTCGTCTCAACCTCCCTCCCTCGATCCACACACTCTCTCCCTCCTCCCCATCCCCTCTGCGGCGTGTGGCGTGCGGCGGGGGTGGGCAGTACCGCGAGCGGATCATATTCATAGGGCAGTTCATGGACGAGGAGTACACGAACCAGGTGCTGGCCACCATGCTGTACCTCGACAGCCTCGACTCCAGCAAGCCCATGTACATGTACATCAACAGCCCTGGTGGCGAGGTCAGTGCCGTGCCCCTCCGCTCCTCCGCGCGTCCCTGATAAGCTTTTCCAGGGTTGTTTCTCTGCTGCGCCAGCCTGCTCTCTCTGTGTGTTTCGCGGTTGCTGCAACGCTCTTGTGACGTGTGGTTGTGCTGCTCGTGGTTGACACACGTGTGGGCAAGTGTGTTGGTGAGTGCAGTTGACGCCCACACTCGCCCTGTACGACACGATTCGCTCCATTAAGTCCCCGGTGGGCACGCTCGCTCTCGGCTACGCCTACAACAACGCTGGCTTCCTCCTCGCTGCTGGCACCAAGGTGCTCCCTCCCTCCCCACACACTGCCTCGTCCACGTCCACCACGCCCACCACACCCATTTGCCCACTCACACAGCGCCCCCGGTTGCCGAGCAGCCATTTTCCATCACATCACCTGCTGCACCACGCCGCACTCCACAGCATTTCCTGTGCTGCCTGTTACTGCTCCTGGCTGACCTAGTTGCTGCCTTGAGGGTGCCCTTGGCTCCAGCATGACCTCTCTGTCCCGCTTCCTTGTGTGTGTGCACCTGCCCCACTCGCAGGGTCTGCGTGTGGCCATGCCCATGACCCGAGTGGCTCTGCAATCGCCTGCAGGAGCTGCCCGCGGCCAGGTGAGTTGCATTCCGTGCGCATGGCCCATGCCTCACACCTGCCCCCACCCCATGCCTCACACCCGCCAAATGTTTCACACCTGCTAGTTTCTGACACCTCGTAGGTGTCACTGGACAAATGTTTTTGCCTCCGGGCGCCTCATGGTTCATAGTCCGTGGCCAGGCTTCTGTGTAGTTCTCGCATGCTTGCTGCATGCTCAACGATGCTCCCTATGTGGTGTGCGCTGGCACTGGCAGGCGGATGACATTCAGAACGAGGCGAGGGAGCTGTCCCGGGTGCGCACTTACGTTTTTGGGGAGCTTGCTAAGATGTCAGGCCAGCCCGTGGAGAAGGTATGAGGCCATGACGCGTACACCTCCCTGGATAGCCAGCTCCTCTCTCTCTCTCTCTCTCTCTCTCTCTCTCTCTCTCTCTCTCTCTCTCTCAAACCTCTCTCTCTCTCAAACCTCTCTCTCTTTCTCTCTCTCTCTCTCTCTCTCTCTCTCTCTCTCTCTCTCTCTCTCTCCTCTCTCTCTCTCTGTCTCTCTCTCTCTCTCTCTCTCTCTCTCTCTCTCTCTCTCTCTCTCTCTCTCTCTCTCTCTCTCTCTCTCTTTCTCTTTCCCCCTCTTTCCCGTCGTTGAGTTGTTCATGCTATTCCCCAGTCTTGATGCTCTTGTGCCTTTTCTACCCCAGTGTGTCTATCCCCACTGTCATCATGCTCACATGCATCACATTGTCTCATGCCTCGCATCCTCAATCAATCTCATCTGCCTCACACCTTACGAATGACAAGTGTCTCTGGTCTCATCATACCACACCCATTTGCCCATGGTGACTGCATGGAGTGCAGGTGACCAAGGACCTGTCACGGATAAAGCGGTTCAGTGCACAGGAGGCGCTGGACTACGGCCTCATTGACCGCATTGTCAGGCCACGCCGAGTCAAAGCTGATGCCGCCTCCCGCCAGCCCATTGGCGCTGGCCTAGGCTGATGCCTGCGAGCTTTGTTCGGTGCTCTTTTCTCAGCATTCATACAGTGTTTGTGTAGGGAGTACTACTTCAAGAAAGCGGGATGCCAGTATATTATGGTTGACCCACAGGTGGTCGTATGTTTTTTTGCCACGCCTCCTGACACGTTGGAATCCACAACGCATCTACAGTACCAGTAGTTAGGGAGTCATATGAGCATCATTTTGAAATGGTTGTACATTCTGTCTCGTGAACTAACACCCTAATCCAACCTAGTCAGCTGTATTTGACAGTCTTTCAAGAAATGAAACAGCGATAGTGCGGACGGTCTACAAACCGTATCTAAGAATCAGTCTGGCGTACACGTCGTTTGGCTATAATAACTAGTTGAGCCTTTCCTACATGGCGGAACAGGATTGGTTTCTTTTGAATCGACGAGCGCAGCTGATGTCATCGTGACGGCGCTTCGTCGTGCTCACCAATCCAAGGGTGGTGCGGACGTGGATCCGCCCAATCCGCTCTATTCTAGCAGTCTGGTCGTCAGGGCAGTTGGCAGACCAGCAAACCAGATCTCTGTCACAGCCTGACCCATCCCACTGCCCACGCACTAGATCCATGTCTGATTGGGCGTGGCTGGGATGGAGGTTGCACAGCATTGCAATTCAGTGGTCAAGTATGAGGTCCGTTTGACCAAGGTATTATTTCTTGATTGACCATTTGCCTCGTATTTCACGTCACTAAGCCGTTGCCTTTTCGACGACTTCGCGAGAGAACCCTCTAGCACCATGGCCCTGAATTTGATGTGGACAATTATGGTTGTTTGCGTCTTGGGCAACGTGGCTATCGCATCGAGGGTTGGTCCTGCGGAGAATCTGGCCATGGTGACCGACGATGCCCTTGGCCTACTCGGTGAAGGTCATCTTGTTTCCGAGTTCAGAGCTTTTGCCAGCAGGTATGAGGCATTGAGTTGTCATGCACGTCAAATTACTCCAAGGACGGATTTAAGCCTTTATGACTGTGTTTCAGGTTTGCCAAAGCTTACGAGACACAGCATGAAGCTTTGACGCGGTTTCGCATTTTTACTCAAAACTGGAAGCTAATTCACGAGGCTAATTCCGCCAACCTGCCGTACAAGCTTGAAATCAATGGTGAGTAGTCGCTTCGTCTGATCAACATGAAAAGTGAGATGGATTTTTAATGAAATTCTACTATGTTTCAGAATTTGCTGACATCTCTTGGGAGGAATTCAAGCAGCACAAGCTGGGCGCGTCTCAGAATTGCTCCGCTACGGAGGGCGGTCATGTTCTTACTTACAAAAATCTGCCGTTGCGCGTGAGTTTCCTTGTGTGAACTGCAACATGCGCTATTTAGCGTGATCCATGCTCTCCAAGCTTCTACTCTTGGGTCTCACTTCATTGTTGCTTCGTTTCTGCAGAAAGATTGGCGGGATGAAGGTGTCGTCAGTCCAGTGAAGAATCAAGGCCACTGCGGTTCTTGCTGGACCTTCAGGTATACCGACTGCAGTGTTTGTTGTCCACATATCCTTCAGTATGTGTCTAATTTTTATTTTTTTTCGCTTTGGTGCAGCACCACTGGAGCCTTGGAGGCGGCGTACCTCCAGAAGACTGGTAATTTCGTCTCGCTCTCTGAGCAGCAGCTGGTTGATTGCGCTGGGGAGTACAATAATCACGGCTGCAACGGTGGCTTACCTTCGCAGGTAACTTTCTTAAAGCTACCAGATAAGTAGCTTCAACTCCTTGAAGTTCCTCAATGCTTTCTTTCGGCGTGTGGTGCAGGCGTTTGAGTATGTGAAGTACAATGGAGGCATTGATACAGAAGACGCGTATCCGTACCTAGGTCAGAATGACCAATGTCACTTCGCTCCCAAGCGGGTTGGAGCACGAGTTGCAGATGTTGTAAACATCACAGAGGTAAAAGGCTGAAGAGCTGTAACTGTTACTAGGTACTACTCCATCCGATATTTTTCTCACAAATTAATTCTTGTGAAGTGCAGTACGATGAGGCGAGTCTTCAAGATGCTGTGGCATTTGTACGCCCTGTCAGTATCGCGTTTGAGGTGGTCGATGGTTTCCGGTTCTACAAGAGTGGGGTTTACGTTTCAGACACTTGCAAGTCGGGACCTGATGTAAGGATCTTCATCCTGGAGTTGTCCAGTGTTTTTGTTTCTACAAAAGGTCACGCTACGCAGTAACTGTTGTGTCTTGCAGACTGTCAATCATGCCGTTCTGGCGGTTGGGTACGACACCTCTGAAGATGTTCCATACTGGGTTGTCAAGAACTCCTGGGGCGCTGAGTGGGGAGATGAAGGCTTTTTCAAAATTAAACTGGGACAGAATATGTGTGGTAAGTCTTCAACCCCCATTGTTTTTCCAGCGGCTGGTATGAAGTGCTGTTACATTGCTCAAATTGGGTTGGTTTTACCGTATGTTGCAGGTGTGGCAACTTGTGCGTCCTATCCGGTACTCGAAGACTAGTCCACGTCTACCACTGGCCTGACAGGTTAAGTGAGGCATGTTTCCATCAGTTTGCTTGTCGAAGAAGGGACGTTTGTGGGCGAACACATGTACCGTAGTTGGTTCCCTTGACGTTTCAGGTTGACTGAGAATGAGTGGAAGGCAGCTACGTCAGGCGGAGCCTTTGCAGTGGGAAACTTGTTGAGCAGATTGGTGTATTTCTCTTACGGTAGTGCTAATGGAGAGTAGTCGTTGGGGGCAAGAAAAACAGATGATTGGACTGAAATAACCACATGGCAAACATGGTCATCAACCACTCAAAGTTGGCAGTGGGGTACCTAACCTTTAACTTGCGAAGATTTGAAATGTGTAACACTTTCTAAAAATACGTACCGTATTGTGAAAGCATAGCTAATTATCTCAGCAAGACAACGGCGAACCATAAAACGTTTAGCTTCCACCCATATCTTCATTTGGAACTTGCATTCCACTCCCCACCCACCCACCCCGGTCGTATACTAAACTTGTACGATCTATTGTTGGACGAGAAGGTTGTAATTACTGCAATTGGAATGAGGAACGATGCCTTCGCAAGAATAGAAATCAAGCTTTCCAAATGCCGAACCCTGCTCTCCTGTAATGTAAGCAAGATGATTCAAACATGCCTTTCTTAAGGTGCAAGACGCTGAGGATCACGGGGGAACATGGATGACTTGCGAATGTTGTTGAGGCCACAGAAGAGCATCACCACTCGCTCCAGACCCACACCAATGCCTCCGTGAGGCACAGCGCCGAACCTGAAGAGACACAGTATCAAGTCGGAGTGCACGAACAGGATGGAGCACGAAAGCTGGTACTACATGGACACCAAACAAAGGCCTGAAACATCTGGCGATGGGAAGAACGAGAAATCTGGCAAGATTTTTTTTGGCAGAGAGCAGACGCTGGTGGAAAGGAAATACCGGAAGGAGTCAATGTAAGGCGCAATGGTCTTGACGTCAATCCCACACTCTGTGGCGCGCCGGGCAAGGAAGTCTGCGTCGTGAACTCGCTGCGCTCCGGAAAGAATCTCCTCGCCTGCCCCACAGAGAGGGAAAGAAGGCTTCCATGCATTTAGATGAGGCAGGAGACTCCAATGAGCTTGTTCTTTCCTGTCATTATGACCTGTTTAACTGCATAAGAGCATGGAAGAACTGCACCCACACATTCTCGCACATAAGGCCCATAGGTCCCCTCACCGCGAATAAAGACATCAAATGAGTTGGTGTAGCGGCCATCGTCCGGGCATGGCATGGTGTAGAATGGACGAACAGCCAGGGGGTAGCGATGCATGATGTAGAAATCCACGCCATACCTGAACCATTTTGGAAGACAGGAAACACAGAAAAGAAGAGAAGGGAGCAAAACATTTAGTTTCGGACAGGATCGGCAAGGTTCTTACGGGTAGCCATGCACTGAAACACGCCATTCAACTCATCCGTTTCTCCCTAACCCCTCCCCTCATCGCTTGGTCCATGGCTTACTTCTGCTTGACCAGCTCGCCCAGCTTCTTCTCCTGCTCCGTATTGATGTCTCCAAACGCATCCACCTCGTACCCCGCCTCCTGCACGCCATGCCATGCCATGCCATGTAGATGGATGTAATCATGCGCAAAAGTCGGAGAAGGGAGGGAAAGCAAGAAAGGAAGGCATTGACGAGCGCGTCCAAGGAAGGTGAAGCGAACAGGAAGCAGGTTGAGACTCGAAACATGAAAAAAGGCAAGGTTGCAGATTAATCTAGAAGAATGCTGAATTCGGAGTGGATAAGCACAGGCGAAAGAGAGCTTAAGACTGGCGTACGAAGAAAAGCAATCACCTTGAGCAGAGCCAAGCCTTCAGGGAATGTGATGCGCACTCCCTCCTTGGTGTACTGCCCACCGTGATGGGTGAGAAAGAGGGGGACAGCAAGAGTGAGTGTGCTGACGCGTGAGCATGTGAAAACCCGGGAGGGAGGGATGTGGGGGGTAGAGGGAGGGAGAGAGGGTGTAAGAGGGAGAGGGCGCACGGGGAGGGGAGGGGGGGAGAAGGTAGAGCAAGTAAGAGTGTCTACAAGTGATGACGCAAACACGTGCACCATAGACACCATACGACAACGGCAAAAGGGGACGGGGGAAAGGGTGGTATGAATGAGAAAAGCGGCAGAGAGCGCAAGAGCAGGCGGACCTTGAGCGGTTCAAAGGGGTACTGCTGGTTGATGGCGGCTAGCTCCTTGGCCCAACGTGTGTTGAGCCCATCGAATATGTGCACAAAGAGGTCGTTTATCACGTCCATTATCTACCCCGGCCGTGGGTGGGTGGGTGCATGGGTGGGTGGGTGGGCACACAGGGACGAGGGAATGGAGGGTCAGTCGTGCCACGCCACCCATGCAGGCCAGCCCAGCTAAGCTGATGAGGCGGAAAATCCGACACCCGGCATGCACCATGCATGCATTGCGTTCAACCTTCCCTCCAGATTGTTAGCAGTGGCCTGACCACCCGAAACATTCCCACGTCTTCGTGCAATCCCCTCTACCCTCCTCCTCCCACTCCCACTCCAGCTCCCCCTTCCCTTTCCCTTCCCCCTTCCCCTTCCCTTCCCCCTCCCCCTTCCCCCTCCCCCATCCCTTCCCCCTCCCCTTCCCCCACCCCTCCCCCCCCCCCCCCCCCACCTCGGAGTAGTGTTCAGTGATCTGCATCTCGAAGTCCATGCCAGTGAACTCGCACAGGTGCCGGTGCGTGAACGAGTCCTCGGCACGGAACACGGGCCCGATCTCAAACACGCGCGCCATGTCTGCGCACACCGCCATCTGCTTGTACAGCTGCGGCGACTGCGCCAGGCACGCCGCCTGCCCCTTGTAGTCCAGCCGGAACACCGCGGCGCCGCCCTCGCTGGACCCGCCGATGAGCTTGGGCGTGTGGATCTCCATGAAGCCCTGCGCCGTGAGGTACTCGCGGAACAGCTGCGCGCAGGGGGGGGGCGAGGAGGGCGGAGAGCGAAGTGGGGCGTTGAAGGATTGAGAAGGGAGGGGGGGATGGGGAGGGGAGGGGAGAGGGGAAGCGGGAGGAGTGGGAGGTTGGAGGGGAAGAGGGGAAGCGGGAGGGGAAAGGGCTGATTGAATAGGGCGCGGAGGCGAGAATGGGCTCTCATTTCGTGGGATTGACGCCTGGGGCACAGCGGCAGCATGCACGGAATCAGAACTGGCAGCACAGCTAACCCCAGCGCAGCAAGCAGAGCAGAGGCGGCGGTGCACATCACATCACATCACATCGCATCGCATCGCATCGCATCGCATCGCATCGCATCTCATCACATCACATCACATGGCACCTGCCCCACGGCGGACTGCACGCGGAAGATGGCCTGGTTGGCGGGCGTGCGCAGGTCCAGCACCCGGTGGTTCAGCCGCGTGTCCTGCCCCACCCTCACGTACTGCACCCCCGTCTGTCACCGGGGAAAAAGGGGCAAGTGGAAGGGAGGGACGGAAGGATGGGAAAGAGAGCGGGATGGAGACTCGAGGGTGTGACGAATAGGAATACGACTGATGAGAGAGGGAGAGTGGAGAGAAGGGCCTGAGGATTGGGTTCAGAGCTGAGGTAAAGAGAAAACACAGTAGGCACGGTGGAGCGGGGCGGAAAGAACATGCACCCAATGGCACGAGGACCCCGAGAATAACGATGAACCGCAAGGGGCGCTCACAGCAGCAACGGAAGTGGCAGTGGCAGCGACAGCAGCAGCGGCAGCAGCAGCGGCGGCGGTGGCGGTGGCGGTGGCGGCAGCATCGTGAGCGGGTTACCTTCTCGGCGTCCTCGATCTCCTTCTCGCTCCTCGCCGCATCGTCAATGTTGAGTGGCAGCACTGCCAGCGCGCGCGACACCGCGTGCACCGACCGCACATGCAGCTCCACCTGCGGGGGAGAGCGCGTGGGGGAGGGCGCGCGCATGGGGGGAGGGGAAAGTGGAGGGATTGGGCGGGGGAGAAGGTTTAGTCGGGGGTTTAGAGGTCAGGGGAATGGGAAGGAGAAGGACGCGAGTAGGAGAGAAGAGATAAGACAAACGGGCAGTTAGTATTGCAGCGTAAGTTGCTCGGCCAGTTTCCCCATACCTGCGACGCTGGGCTTTCGGGCCCCCAACACCCGGCAAGCAACCATCGCCCATCGTCCGCACACCCCGCTGCCATGGCTTCCCGTGCTGCGACGCGCTCACCTGCTGCGACGTGGATTCGATGGGCTTCTCCGGCAGCACGACGTCGCCCGTGACGTCGACGACACTCTCGCGACTCAGCCCCGCCGCGTACTTCACCATGCCCTTGCTCACGTGCGCGCCCTCCGCGCCCACCGCCAGCACGCACTGCGCCGTGCACCCGCCCTCGCGCAGCACGATGAACCCCATCTTCCCCTTGGCGCGCACGTTGTGCACGCGCCCGCGCACCAGCACCACCTCCCCCGCGCGCGCGGGAACCAGGTCCGCCACGCGCGTCCACTGCCGCCCCGACACGTGCTTCGACTGCACCTCGTCGGGCGGCAGATCGCCGTAATTCGCGGCGAGCGGATCCTCCTCCTCTGCGCCGCGCGCGACCGGAGGAGATGCGGAGGAGATGCGGGGGAGATGCGGGGGAGATGCGGGGGAGATGTGGGGGAGATGCGGGGGAGATGCGGGGGAGATGCGGGGGAGATGCGGGGGAGTGAGAGGGGGGAGTGGTTGCAAGGGAGGGGAAAAGGAGAGGGAAGGAAGTGGGAGCGGGAGGAAGGGAGGGCGTGGAATTGAAGGAGGGTAGGACAGCGAAGTGCGCGTGCAACTAGAGGGATCTCAGGGCAACTCGCATAAGCGGGAAGACGAAGGGGGCGGCATTGCGCCGCGAAACGAGATTGTTATGGAGCAGGATAACGTCAGTCAATCCGCGGATCGAGAAAATTCGACGCACCCGCCGCGGCCTGCTGCTGCTGCTGCTGCTGCGCCTGTCGCGCCGCCAGTCGTTCCGCCTTCTTCGCAGCCTTCGCGTCCTTCTTCGCCCCGGACTTGCTCACCGTTTCCCCCGCATTCCCCGCCGCCTTTTCCGCTGTCTCCCCGTCCGTAATTGTTGCCGTGGCGAGGGAGGCCGTCACGTCAGCTGTGGAGAGCGGGGCGTCAGCCATGGAACCCGATCTAATTTGATCCGATTTGAGCGGATCGGATCGAATCTGGACTAGAAGAAGAGAGCGGCAGGACGTGGTTGAGAGATATAAGTCCTACGCAGATCGACGGGGTGAAGGGTTGAGGGAAGGCGCAACGAGGAAGAGTGCCGCCGACAACTGAACGTGTGAGGAAGGTGGCGGAGGTTTCGAGGGGGGGGGTCTGGGAGACCATGCCGAACCCAGGCTCTTTATAGCGAGGATCCTAATGTTTACAGGTACACATTTCATCTAAATAAAAAGCCAAACTTGATTCACGTTGAGTATCCAACTATAATGTGCATTGCAAGCTGAACAACCATGGCAACACCAGGGGAGTGACACCTGGTTGCGTTTCAGCTAGCAAGGCTTCCACAAGCACGACAACCTCAAAAACATGCACCGAACCAACCAGCAAAAAACCACCCGCTTTCACAGCAGAGCAACCACCGCAATTGCTGCGAAAGGGTAACGTAAGATATGCGTGGTCAGGAAGGTGGCATGTGCGTGTAGTCATCATTACTTGTAGAGTCCTCATTACTTGTAGTCGTCATTACCTGCATCCGCCCAATCACTCCGTTGCACCACCGTATTTCGCACATCCCTCACCCTCAGAATCAAATCCAAAGGCCCATTGCCACTGCCACCATCACAAGCAACACCTGCCGCTTCTCCAGCTCCAGATGGCACAACCTCAGCCGCAAGATTTGCCGGAGCAAGCTGATTGGTTCTCCCAGCAAGCACAGAAGAAGGCAGGCATGAAGAGGCAGGGGGCAGGGCCGGGGAGCCAAAGTTGCCAAGCAGCAAGGGGTCGACGCGCGAGATGGGATGGATGCCCAGTGTGCCGAGCACACAGCCACCCACCAACAACAGCCCCTCCACTGAATGTCCCGCACTAGGGCCCGCCATGGCTGCCCCATGCACGCGCACAGGCGACCTGGTGGCAAGGGGGTGTTGCAACAATAGGGCACACGACGTGAATGGGTGGGGGTGACAGTGGGAGAGAGAATGAGCGCGCGTGGGGTGATGAGAATGCATGCAGAACAGCAACAGGTGTTATGCCACGCCATGCGTACTGCGAACTGACAGTGCATAGCACCACTCCTCTATGCAATCGGAGCCATGCCCCTGTCCCTGCTGCAGTGCCCCTGCAGTGCATGGCGTGTCTCACCAGTGCAGGGTGTGCAGGTTGAGCAGGTACGCGTCTGACAGGTAGTCCCGTGTGCCGTACGTTGTGCCCTCCATCAGCAGCACTTGGTCCGGCCCCACCTGCTCCCACACACAGATAGCAGCACACAGCAGCAGGCAGCAGCAGAGGGTGTGGAGGATGAGCAAGGAGAGAAGCGCACATGCATGGAGCATGAAGCACGGAAGCACGAGAATCCCAAAAACTTAACGCAGGCAGACACAAGTGCCAGACGCCCCCAGAGGCGAGCGCAGCAGCATGCACCTTGGTGATGCCCGAGCGATGGCGTGGCAGCGGCAGCAGAGCAGCGCACGCGGGCGGCAGGCGGGGAGGGGGCGTCCACATCATGCTCATTAGGTCTAGAGTGAACGCCTGGGAAGCGGAAGAGCGGGTAGGATCGATGGTAGGGAAGAGAAAAAGTAAGAGGGAAAGAGGACTGGCGCAGGGTGGAGGAGCAGCAACCATAATAGCTGTTACGAAACAGTTGAGTAGCACCAAGACGTTGCTTCTGCTGGTGTAGAGAGTCGCATCAGGACCCCGACGAGCAACACCCAGCGTGGCAAAGGTTGAGGGCGCGCAGAGACAAGGCAGCACGCACCTGCATGTCCTCCATCTCCTCGTGCTTCTCGCGGTACCCGCCAAACACCACCAGTCGCTCCCGCCCCTCCTCACACTCCCTGCCACAACACAGCCGAGGGGGAAAGGGATAACCGAAGCGAAGCATTGGTGAAAGGAGGTGAGGTTAAAGAGGAAAAAAAAGTGCGATGTGGCATGGCATGGCGAACAACAGGAATGTCGTCAACAGAGAGCGAGCACACAAGCATAACGAGCAGCGCCACAGCAAGCACTAGATCGAAAATCGCAATCACAGCACGGCAGCGGCCTTACGAGTGTGTGCACGCATAGTGCAGGAAGCGCACGCCTGGGCCGCGCCCCCGCGTGACCACTCTGCGCCATGCCATGCGCGCCACGTCCAGCACATACACCACCACCGCGCGCTCCCCCGCCCCTTCCCCGCTTCTTTCCCCGCGCTCCGCGCCTCCCTCGCCTTCGTCCGTCCCCCACGCGCCCGATTCCCCGTCCGCTTCTCTGTACGCCACCGCGCCCTCCGCTTCGCCCGCGCGCACGCCAGCGCTATCCCCGCTCTCCGCGTGCTCCCCGGACGTTTCTGTGTGCACGGCGGAATCGGCGGGACGCGCGCGCACTTCGCAGCGCACGCTTCCGCGCGCGCGCTGATCGCACTCGTTCGCGGAACAGCAGCTGCAGGCGGAGGCTGCGCCACCGAGACTCGTCGTGCCGCTGCTGTAAGCGCAGCTGCTGCTGCAGCCGCTCTCGCTGTCACTGTCGCTGCCGCTAGGAGCACCAGTGCTGCAACTGGTGCCGCTACCGCCCAGCCACGAGTGCCTGCACTCGCCACTCACTCCCCCGCTCCCCCCACCGCCCGCCGACTGTCTCCGCCCCTCCCTCCCGCCACTCAGACGAAGGCCATCGACCGCTCCTGCAGCGCGCACGAGCGCGCTCGCCCCGCCATTGAGCGAGCTGCTGCTCGACCCGCCGGCGCACCATCCCGCGGCGGAACGCGGGTCTTGCTGCCCGGACTGCGCAGCAATGCGCCTCCGCCGTTCGAGAAGCTCATGCGCGAAAGGGCGGGTGCCGTTCGGAGAGCGCGCTTGCGCACCACTCTCGTTCAGCGCTAGCTCCGCCTCCCCGACTTCCCTCTCCGCCGCATCCCATCCACTCGTCTGCTCGTCCGCCTCATCCGCCCAGTCGTTCAACTGCGCGCCCTCGCCGCTGCGCAAAAGAGGGTGCGGGGAAAGGAAGAAGGAAGAGAGGGAGGGGGAGAAGGGGAAGGAGGAAACTGAATGACTAACGCGGGAGGGCGGAGGGCGAAGCGCAGGAGGAGGCGAATGCGGAAGAATCGGAGAGAGCGACGGCATGAGCGCGAGCGGCGCGGACGAGGGCAACGTGAGAGAGGGAGAGGGGGAGCGCGAGGGAGAGGGTTTACCCGAAGACGACGACGTGCGAGCCGCGGTCGAAGGAGCACATAGTGTGGTGGAAGCGCGGGCACGGCGCCGCGCCAGTCGCGGCGGCTCTACGCCACACGACGCGGCGACCGTCGTCCGTCACGGCGAGGAAGAACGACTCCTCCGCGCCGTACACACCGCCCTGCTTCCCGCAATGCGGGGGGGAGGAGGACGAGAGAGCACCGGGAAAGAGCGGCTGGTTGAGGGAAAGCGTTTGCGACAGACGAGCCATGGGCAAGAAATCAAGTGAGCGCGTCGCCAGGAAGTAAGTCCCACGGACGAACCCATTGACGAATTTGATTCGAGACTTATTTAGAAAGGCGGCGGCGGGGCCACAAGGCAGCACGGTGGAGTGCATGGGTGCGCGCACCTGTAGGTTATACCCGCCGAACACGAACAGCACGGGGTCCGCGGGCCCCGCAAATCCATGGCGGAACGACTCCGCGACGCGCACTGGCACGGCGGTGTGGCGGAAGCGGGGGAGCGGAGGGGAGTCGTCGGCGAAGACGTGCACGAGCGGGTGGCGCATGGCCATGGTGGCGGTGTTGAGCAACACCACGTCCATCACCGCCTGCCCGCTGCGCATCAGCCCGCCAATGATGACCTGCCATGTGCCCGCCTGTCGGTAGAGAAAATGGGGTAAGGCAAGGCAAGTGCGCGCTGCGATATTGACGGAAGGCGACACGCGGACGAGCGCGCGACGGTTTGAGTATGAGCGGGGAAACGAGCGGGGCGGGAGGACGATGGGACAGGAAGGGGAAGGGAAAGGGGAGAAAGCGCGAAAGGGGGGGACGCGAACGAGGTTAGGGAGTAGATACCTCGGTGGCGGAATGCCCCGTGCGCTCCAGCGACTCCAGCGCGCTGACGGCCGTCTCGTCGTACGGACACACGCCCGCAACGGGCGGCGCTGCCATGGGCAAAAGCGGCGCCGTCACCACCCCACCCTCCCCCTGCTTGCTGCGCCTGGCCGCTATCAGACTGCGCAATTGCGTGAGGAACCGGGGTAGGACGGCAGAGACATGAGCAGGGTCTAGCGATATGGAAAGAAGGACGCGAGGGTTATGAGAATCGCGGGTCGCGACGACTCGCGTCAAACGCGGAAACTTAGGCGAACAATGCGCGGGGGGGGGGGGGAGTGTCGAGGGTGGAGCGCGAGTAGTGCTCGGGCAGCGCACCTTTGGCGGAAGATCTCGCCGCCGTTAGGCCACCACTGCAGCTCGACGGCTCTGATGCTCGCTCCGAGGACACGATGCCAGAACCACGTCTGCACGCGACCGCCGCCGCCCTCTAACAGCCACCGCCGCTGCCGCCCACGGTCCCTCGCACACGTTTCAAGCGGCACGCCACTAGACCGTCCCGGATCATCTGCGGACGCGCCGCTCAGCTGCCATGGATCGTCGACCTCGTCGGCGGGCGGGGGTTGCGCGCTCTGCTGCTCCGCGGAAGTCTCTTCCGCGTGGCGGTGCAAGGCGAAGGCACGATGCAAAGCGCAAATGGAAGGGCCGAGGCGTGACATGCAGAGGCTGCGCATTACATGGCGGGGGGACACAAGACGTGGCAACGGAATCCGTTCAGTTCCAACAAATGGAAGGTTTCGCGTGGAACCGAAGTAGCAGATCAAAAATAAGATGCGCGCGGAACGTGATGGGGGAAAAAAGAAAGAGGGGGAAGGGAAACGGAAACGCAGAGGGAGGAGGGGGAGGGAGGGGGGAGTGCCTAGGTTCGGATACGGACGCGTAAGGACGGGCGAACGACAAATTTCGGCGCTACGTAAGTGGAAAAACGACGCGGCGTCATGGCAGCGGGCACTTCGCAGGCTATTTGAGTACCTGTGCCATCTATCGGAAGCATGCACGTTATCATGGGAGAGTATCTCGTGGTGCATGGCCGCACAGGTGCAGGCGAGCCTCGCGAGTGACACGCCATCTAGAAGGTCTAGTACTCGAGCCTGGACCTCTAATGGTAGCAGGAGAAAAGGGGGTGCTTCGTCTCTTCTAAACGGCTTGCGCAGAAACATCTGTGGGGCGGGACTTGGCGAGACAGGACGCGTTACGGTGGAGGTGTTGATGGGAGTCATGGCTGTCACAGCTACCTCCCCAACCCCTGCTGGAGAGAAATGACTACAGAGCAGAAATTAGAAAGAAACAAAACGGAACGAAACGAAACCCTAGAAAAGAGGCAGCGGGAAGAGTGGACAGTCAGACTGGCACTGCCATTTGCCATCGCCCATGCTCATGACGAACCGAGCCCCCCTCCCATCAGTGGCTCCCCTCCGCTCCCGAGCCCGACTTGCATTCCTCAGGGGCACCGCGGAACATTCCTGGGAGTTCCGACAGGCAGACGGCTCTTGTCAAGTCGCCGGTATTTGTGGTGGTCCGCCATCTCTCTTCCTTGCAGCTAGCTGCCCAAGCCAAAGGCCCACCATTTGCAGCATTCGAAATCTACCGAGATGTATCCTTCCATTTGAAAGATTTTGAAAAGTTCGGTTGTACTGACCACTTGTACACCAAGTTGGTGAATGCCGTATTGGAAGTTCGTGAACTGTACACCCTAGTGTACCAGTTCATCAGTGTACTACTGCTCTGCGCTGTGCTGTATTGTAAACTTAGCGGTCTGAACACTTAACGTCTATCCGCCAAGTCCTTTTCATTTCTGGTGCAGCTATCCCAGCATAACAGGCGCGGCAAGCCACAAATTGCAGCCGCGTCTGGCGGGTGTAGCTCGTGTCAGCTGACCACCACCGTAAAATCAGCAGTGCTTGTGTGGCCCTCACATTTTGAAGACCCTGGGCGGCATTTTTTTTACTGGCGAGCAACAGTGTAGCGCCGTGACTACCCCAAACCCACCCTCCTTGTTTTACTGTACAGAATGCCCTTTCGAACTCCCGAGTACAGTGTGACCACAGGTCCCTACAACCACACCCCGAACTGTGGAGTTCGCCTGGACGTGGTGCAAAGTTAAAGACTCTCCGCGGCACTTTTCATAACCAGAAGTAGTGTACAGAACTGTATTGCACGGGCCCACCCACTTTCTCAAATGGTCACTGTGAAAGGGCTTTCTCCTGGAGACAGCTGTCGGAAGGATACACGCGAAACTAATATCGTAGCTTGTTCACACCATCAAGAGCAGCATGTGATGAGATACAAAACTACTCCACGACTAGGTGGCACGACAGTCTGTCGAGTGAACTGTAGCTAGGCAAGTCCCAGAAGCTTGCTGGTTCGATAAGCCGATACGTAAGCAGGGACCCCAACGCGCATATCATCCTGCACCACTCTCCAACGTCCACAAGGAAACAACATGGAGCGAAAAAGTTTCGTACACCTTTTTTTTCAACCTTCTTACCTTACGCGACTCGTGCTGCAGTATTTGCCTCTTGCGATCTGATGCCATTAATGTTCCTACCAATCTGGGGGGAAAAGCCGAACCACGTGACAAACTGGCTCAAGGACGTAAAATTTCCGTAACCGCTGTATACCCTTCCCAAAACAATTAAAACGCTGACAAAGCTATTTGTAAAATGCATCACCTAGCTTAACCGCATTCTTCGTGTTGTGCTTGTACAGTAGGTGACAAGACCGTTTTGAACGTGGTGACGTTCTACAACCCGTTTATGTTCTGCAACCAGGTGCTCTACTAGCGCGAAAAACAGGTGTACACTTAGCTTTCTTTACAAGAAGTTGTTCTGGGAAATTGGTTCTCTATGAAGCCAGTGTTTTGTTTTCAGTTTCCGCTACTAAACCTAAATCCGGACACGTAATATTCGTCTCAAATTTGAGTGGTTTGGTCACAATCTGGCCAATGATGAGATTTCGGCACTAAAAAGAATAGCATGCGGCTGATAACAAGCTTAAATGGCGGTAGAAAGGCTATGTTCAAGCCATGGATGCTTTTGGGGGGGTGGCTCGTGTTGCGATCAGAAGGTGATCGCTCCTACGATCTCCTCAGGAAGGTTCGCACACAGCTAGATGTTGTTGGTGGGCCCTTGACCTCAATAGCATAGTAAATGTAAAATGCTTGAGATGATAAGAACACGCAAATACAAAGATATAAATATGAGTACAAGGGAATTCGAATCGACCTAGCTAGCCATGTACTCTAAGGGGTACATTCCCTTATTCAAATTCATTCCCAACCGTGCGGCGCGTGTCAGATTATTATAGCTGATGCATGTTTGTAGGCTATAGTGGGGTAGCACATATGGGGTACAGTTTGCTAGGGTTGTATTTGTACCCAACTCTGACTTAGTCAATTCATTCCTGTTCATTCCTTTCACAGCGCGTACAGTTACGAAACTGTTCCCGCCCAATTCCTCTTGCCTGCAGCTGCCCGATGCCGTCTGCTCCGACGGTCCCGATCCACCCTGACCGTCTTATGCTTCAAGTCAACTCTGACCCTTCACATTCATTTTCGATACTGCGTGCTTCCTTAGCTGCGATTAGGAGTGCACAGTAATGTTTTCATCCATTGCTATTCGAAACAGCTCGTTTGTCCCGCATATAAGCCCTCTCTCACGCACCAATCATGGCGATGACTTCCTTTTACACATCCTTAAGATGTTAAAAACAAATTTTGGTAGCTGATGACTGTGGTTGAGCGGTTACACAAAGTGCATACTTGTTCTAGCCATTGGATACATGGTTTGGATTTAGCGGGCTGGCGACATAGCTCGGCTGTTGATAGTTGCAAACAAAGGCACACAAGAAGAGGAACATGCCTTGGGGTGTTAATTTTCCGTAAATTCTGAAGACCATTTTGACAGAATTTATATATATAACTGCCTGTAGCTGTAGTTAGTGTAGTTATTATAAACTTTGTTAGGTGGTGCACCTTCTTTGTTCACATGCTATATGTTCTTGCAAACCTATAGTGAACTCACCCCTTTTCCAACTTTCTCGACACCTTCCCTTGGCACAACCTACTCGACATCCTCCCTGGGCCTAGGCTACTAAGCCTAGGCCTTAGTTAAACCTAGCATCTAACTACATCCATTCTTGTTTATTTTCACATGGATTCAGAGCATGTTTCGTCCTGGCCTGTGGGCCCGCCTTATGATTCCGCTGCTATTTTTCCGGTCGCGCGCCTAGGGCGCGTGGCGATTTTCGTCTTGTCCCGCCCCCGGGTGGCGAGTGACACCTTCTCTGCCCGTCGCGCGCCCCGTGGCACTCGACGGTGCCCTGCTCGTCGTGCGCCCCGAGGCACACGACGTTGCTCTAAACTTGAACTTGCCCGTCGTGCGCCCCGTGGCACGCGACGGTGCTCTCCGCACCTGCACTCCCTGCAGCCGCCCCTGACCTACCTGCGCCGACCCTAGTTAGCCACTCTGCGGCTTTCTTCCCGCCCACCCCCTCCTCCTTCGTCTCCCTACAGCCGTGGGGGGGAGGGTATGGGGGTGGCGGGTGTTGGAGTGTTGGGTAGAGAGCTTCCCTTCCCCTCCTCCTCCTTTCGTTCCCACTGCTGCAGCTGCCGCTGGGGGGGAGGGTGTGAGGGTGTGGGGGAGCAGGGGGAGTGGCACCGGGGTGGCGGGTGTGAGGCAACCAGCAGCCGTCCCTCCACCTCTCCTCTCTTCCCCCCCCCTCTGCTGCTCCTGCAGCAGTGTGGGGGAGGGGAAGGAGGAGGGTGAGCAGATGGAGTGGGTGACCAGCCAGAGCCAGCCCGCCTCCTCACTCTTCCTCCTTCCCCTCCTGTGGTTGGGTGGGGGAGAGGGTAAGGGGGTGGCAGGAATTTCTTGCTGTCGACTTACCGTACCTGCTGTTGCTTGTTTATCAGTCTGCTTGTGTACCCCTGCAGGTTGTGTTCTGCACAAACTCCTGCTGCAGGCAGTTATGGGGGAGTGTCAGAATTTATATATATAACTGCCTGTAGCTGTAGTTAGTGTAGTCATTATAAACTTTGTTAGGTGGTGCACCTTCTTTGTTCACATGCTATATGTTTTTGCAAACCTATTGTGAACTTACCCCTTTTCCAACTTTCTCGACACCTTCCCTTGGCACAACCTACTCGACATCCTCCTTGGGCCTAGGCTACTAAGCCTAGGCCATAGTTAAACCTAGCATCTAACTACACTCATTCTCGTTTTCTTCTCACATTCACAGCTGTTTCAACAAAAAGAATTACATGTAACCTGTCATTAGATCTGCCCTGTGGATGCCTGATTGATCCTGGAGAGGGTTAAAGGCGCGTTCGCCTGGGGGGCTATGGGCGCACTGACCCGCTACTGAAATAAGCCCTTTTATCCCAATGGTCTAGTGGTTGGGATTCTGACATGGTATCAGAGCGGTCTCGGGTTCGATTCCCGGTGTATGCACATGTAGGCCGTTCCCGCTGTGCTTAGTCCTGGGCCTCCCAGCGTGGGGGGGTGTCAGTAGATTTGCACAGTGGATGCCCGATTGATCCTAAGAGGGTTACAGGCGCGTTCGCCTGAGGGGGTTATGGGCGCACTGACCCGCTACTGAAACAAGCCCTTTTATCCCAATGGTCTAGTGGTTGGGATTCTGACATAAACCCTTCATCAACCGCCTCGGGAAAGAA